ACAAGACAATTGCAATCGGTTTTAGTTTAAATAAGTTATATTTAGATTTGGCTAGTTTACAAAATCAACCCTTTATGTGTGTCGGCTTTAGAATTCAACCAAAACCGTTTTGTTGTCGGCTGATTGGGTTATTGTATACACTTCACCGTTTACGTCAATATCATGTTCGGTTGAGTAGAGCTCTCGATTGCTAAAGCGGCTCCAGTGCGCCGGATGATCATGGTGACGGCGAGCATGCACCAATTTACTATCTCGTGTTATGCACACCGCCCGGCAACGATTTTTCGCCATTTCACAACAACGCCACGTCGTATGACCGTTGGCTTGTGTTTGTTTCTTATTATAGATGTAGCCCTCATAGACGAGCTGAGCATTTTTCTTCTGACTTCGGATATAAAATACTTTGTTGCCTGTGCGAGAGAGGGAGAGAGAGAAAGAGGGCGAAAACTGATATAATAGTTTCTCTTAGATTTTTCAAACCGTTGTTGTTGTTGTTGTGATTTTTTTTTGTTTAGCTAGAGATTGGCAAAGATCAAACATGAAGTATTCATATGAAAAACAAAAATCGATCGACAATTTTCAATCGTTTCGAAGGTGGACAGTGACAAGAGCATCAATTTGAACATAACAAATGAAACAAGCGGGTTTTCTATTTCAATTCTTCCGAGTTGGTTTTCTTTATTCATCATTTTCAATGAGTTTTTTTTTGGTTCCAATAATAAATACTTATGATAGTATACGAAATTTTAGGTAAAGATTTTTTTTCGGTGCAAAGGATATGTTTTACATATTTTGAGGTACTTTTTTGAGTCTAACTCAATATCATCTATGACCCAAATTAGCTTAAAACTATAAGGAATATTCAATGAGTTTGGAGGAAAAATTAAGTTTAAAGGAAAATCAAGTTCAAAGAGGTCAAGAAAAGGTGATTTGGCTGTGTTATGATGATAAATCCAATTGAAGAAAAAATCGTGTTACATTTGCAGCGTTTTACTCAAGAGAACATCATTTTTTAAAAAAATTTAAGAGAAAGTATGTTATTCGGTCTACTATTATAGTTCAAAATAAAACAAAAGAAAAGAAAATCAAAATAATACTGTGGAGACTTCAGATTGGAGGAAACAAAGCCTATTTTGACAGATGAAAAATAGTTTTACTAAAAAATTCGTATGAAAGCTACGATCCAAATAGATAATTCGCCGAGGATCTCCAAGCGATATAAATGAACAAGTACAAGCTAGCAATGCACTTGACATTTTTATTACTTATAGGAAATGCCTCAAAAAATCTCACTTCGCAATCTAAGCTCAAGGAAATTCAGTAGCTTCAATCTCCATCTCGCCGAATTTCTAACTGCAACTAATGAATTCTTTTTGGAAGTAAAACCGTTGGATAAATATATCAACTGAGGAAAATCTTACTGGACAAAGATAAACTGAACTTTGAAATAGGAATACGGAAGCTTCAATATCACAGCTCTACTCTAGCTTCTATTAAGTTTAAACAATCTAGTTCTTTTGAAATAAGTTTCTACATAGGATTTTTAGGGTGAAACATGTAATGCACCAATTCACATCAAACAATTCACACACAACTTTAACAAACTCTTATTTGAATGCCTGAATATTCTCTTTGAGAGACTGTCACCTCAACGGTTAATGTTCAACCGAAAAATCTATCTAACATAGCCCTTATTTAAAGGATCATTAACCAAAACAACAACAACACATTTTATGAACAGACAACTATTTCAATAACAGAACAGTGTGCAAAAATGAAAAAGAAAACTATTGAACTTGACGTTAGGATGGAAAGCAATAAGCATTCTCGAAATGCATAGCAAATAATGAGAGTAACTGAGATTTACAAACAATAGAACATTAAGGAGTGATTACGTTTACGTTAAACAGAGGAACAGTGACTAAAATTGAACGTTAAAAGCAAAACTTCAAATAAAGACTGAAGCAAAAGAGGAAATTAAATCAAGAAAGTGCGTAAAAAGATTGGCCTCAAACTAAAATCATCGGACATCAAACAGAACAATTTTGCAAACAACCAATTCTATTTATTTTATTGCAATTGTATTCCGCGATTGATTGAATGAAAAAAAAAATTTGAAAAAAATCTATGCACACTTTGTTTCTCGTTGATAGTAGCGCTTTTTACTTGAAATGTTTCGATCAGAAGCACGCTGTGTGCTGCACACAATAATCGAAATAAGGATATTAATAACAAAACACATCAACAAAAAAATGAAATGACTCCATGAAGTGAATTCGAAGAAAGACGCAGATTGCAATGCTTACGCGAAAATGATACGATACGACATGTTCAGACTTGTTATGCTCTGCGGTAACATGTTCAGAAGTGCATTGAATATCACGTATGGAATTGAATCATTATAGAGATTCTTGTGGAGATTTAGGTTTGGTGCGAAGGTTGTTGATGTTTAAAATGAAATAGAACCGGATTGATACCAAAATGATTCAAAGTAAGAAGATAAAAATGGAAGAACTTGGAAAACTTGAAGAAATATGTGTCATGACAGTTAGCCTTGAATCGAAGTTTGAGTTCAAAGTGGGTGAACAGATATGTTTTGAAAAATGAATTGAAAATGGCTCAAGTTATGACTCAATTTGAAACTATGTTTATGATGAAATTGACTCAATTATGTTTGAGACTCGAGATTGCGATTAAACTACGTTGTCGTCATAAGTGTTATCGAACAAAAAGGTCAATGGAAACTATCAAATCAGTAAGGAAATTACATTCATCAACATTGTAAATAATATTTTTGTTCTCGAAAAATAATTAAAATATTAAGGCATGGAATGATAAGTGACAAAATGTTGAATAAACAATGCTAATTTAAATCAAAAATGTATGGTTTAACTGAGAAAAATGGTTGATTGCAAATATGAATTGAATGATTGAACTGAATTTAAGTGGAACTAAACAAAAACAAAATGTTGTGAAGCTTGAGTTGAATGTAGAAAAGTTGATTGTTGCACATACTTTTAACCTTTACCTTGCAAGTAACCATCGCTTCAGTCCGAAGCATCGAGAGAAACCTGTTTGATTTTCCCGAACTTACGATTCAAGAAAATCCCGATTGTGGGAAATAATGTTTATATAATTGCAAAAAAGAGTAATCTGTTCATACCCACCGTACCAGGTTATCAACTCAATGAGTCGAATTTACCAAAATGTTGAGCGGATTGCTAACAATTTAACCGAAAAACCCTCATGTACCAGAGTCCAAAGAGTCGTCCATCACGGTGGTGCTCATTGCCAAATCGAATTATTTAAAAAACGACTTCGCTTTCGATCATCGCTTCGGGGAGGCTCGTCTTCCTCTTCGTCTCATTTTTTTCACTTCACAACACTTTTTTTTTTGAATAATTTTGAAAAAGCACTCAAATCAAAACCAGAAGAATCCTTATAAAACATCAAAGTACCACGGATGAAACTATGATACTTGCAAGAATAATTCCAGCATTAACTCAAAGCACAACAGTTGAAATAAAAAAGCCAAATTGGTTCAAATACGCGGACAAACGGTAATTTAAAATATCGCGAAAATGTTAACGAATGAAAAAAGAATGTAAAATTTTTTGGAAGACCCGAAAAATACGATAAACAAAAAAGTTCGCGATAAAAAGGTCGAAAAATAAAAGATTGATTTTAAAAATAAAATGGAAGAGAATCAAAAAATTGTGGGGGAGCCGACAAGAGGCCGACAGGGAAATAATTAAATGATAAAAAGAGAGACAGAATACGAAAAACATTAGAAACTCTCGCCAATTCCTATGTTTTTTGCATTCATCGATATTTGGTTTGTGGGGTTCAAGGGAGGTTAAATTAATATAGGTATACCATCAGAATATATATAATATAGAATCAGTCTAGCTCATACCTTATTCAATAGCATCACAATTTCAGAGAACTAAAACAATGCAAGTGTGGGTGATTTTTTTGTTGACATTTAAGGGCAATATGATTGCAATGTGTTCGAAATCACATGGAACTAATGAAAATCAAGTTAAGAGACACTTATGCATTGTGTTTTTTCTCCAAACGGAATGATATTGGCCTAGAAAAATGGACAAAGATCAACTCATTGAAATGGACATGGTGCAGCGCAGTATGGGCTTTAATAGCCAAAAATAAAAGCCTCAGAAATGGTTCAATAGATCAAATTGCTTTCATGGGTATTCAATTCACAATAAAAAAAATGTATGCATTTTCAATTCATTAATTGGTTTTGTGCGAGAATCGAACCATTTCGAGAAACGACCGTGTTTATTCAGAACCGAGCATTATTTTTCGAATTCGATTTGTTCGGCAAAATCGAACGAGTGTTTTGAAAAGAAAAAAAATCGCACGCGGACGACAAAATCTGAACATTGCTTCGAGTAAAACTGCTACAGTTTACTCATACCTGAATATACGACGTTAAATACGCAGTTTAATCAATTCTATCCCTTTCTCTCAGTATTTGTCTCGCTCTCAGTAGTAGCCTGTCTTCATCGCAGTCCATCCAAAGAAGCAACCACAAACACACTCTTATTTTTTTTTATCAAATCAAATCACTTGGTAATTTAAGTTAATTCGAGCACAAAATCAAATTTGAATTCAATGCACAAATGGTAGAAAATTTACGTTACGTTACAACAAAAAAAAGTTAGTTGAAACATGAAAATGGAAAACTAGATTTTTTTTGTCTCTCAATTAATAATGACACATTTGCAAAGTAATTCCACTGTAACTATTTGTCGTAAGCAGCCGAAGGCTGGTCGCAGTGTTTGGTTGGTGGCAATGTAATCGATGGTAATATGACTCGTTTTTTCTTCTCAATTGGACTTAAACATGTAAAACAGTACTCGAAACAAAGAGCGAATTTTGTGTCATATCAATAGCTAAATGGCTAACCACAATGTTTTTCAATGAGCATCAGATCTTCAGTCGCGTTGGTAATGTGTTGAATATTTTTTACTAACCTTGTGCCTCGTTTGCCGATGTATCGCCTTCCGTGTATGATTCGCCAAAACCAGATGCTGATGCGCCTTTGCCCGTTTCCTCGCTTTCCGTGAAGTAGCTTTCGTCGTATTTCATATCACCGTAAGATTCGTCTTCAACATAAGTCGCTTCCGTGTCGCCAGCCTCTTCCATTTCGCCTTCGTCGCCATAGTCTGGTTCAGCCTTGGTGGGTACAGTTTCGATGGGTAGATCAATGAATTCCGGTTCGCCAACGTTTTTGCCAACATCAGCCGCCGATGTGACTTGAACGATTTGTGCGGATGGACCTTGTTGCACGCTGCTCGATTGGCCAACGGTCGATCGTGTTGGGGTTTCCGGTTGTTCGAGCGGATCGGCTGATATGGTTTTCAGGCGTTTGGCTGATGTTGGAACCGGTGCACCAGCTCGGGGTAAGACACGTTTTTGTGTTTGTTGAACAACGACGGTAGTAGCTTTGTCGTCGCTACTATCCTCCGAGTCCAATTTGTACGATGCCGTTCGATTCACGTTTCGCTGTTGCACGGTACGCGGCCGTTGTGTTTGTACAACGTTGGCAGGTGTCGAGGTAGCTTTGATTGGTACGTGCGTCTGTGTGGATGGCGTTTGCGACGCTGGTACCGACTGTGAATCACCATTTTCTGTGAGACCTTTGATTTGCAACGCTTCAGCGGTGCTGATGAATGTTGGCAAGGCGTCTTGTTTCACATTCACTTCGCCGCAGTACATGAATTGAATCAAGTCCTTCAATGCAGCGTGTGGAACGTCTTTGAGGAATACTGTTTTCAGAGAAAAACAACGGAAAAATGCGAACAATTTTATTAGAAAAATGCGATTGAATTCGGTCATTTGAACAAAAGAAAAATTGAACTTTTTCTAAGAAAAAATTTCAAGAATTTAAAAAAGAACTCGACAAATTGAATGAAACTTACCAAATGCGTGCTGATTGGCTGGCATTTGTGTGAACATCTTTTGAAAGTATGGCGAGCATACTGACAAGACCAAGCGATGCGCTTTCACCAAGTGCCCTTCGGCCGCCAGTGTCACATCGACCAAATCGCCTTTGAGTAGCGATTCATGAAAACCGGTAGATAAATTCGTGTTGTAATTGTTCCAACACAAGGAGAACTGCTCCTCTTCCCCGTCCGCCATGTTGAACGGTGCTTTCTTTTGCTCGGATTACTATTCGGAAAACAACAGAAAAAAAAATCGGAAAAATTAAAAAAAAAGCACAAAAAAAACTCATAAAATATTTCTCAAATCGATACGAAAAAGCATGCGCGTATTTGCAGCGAACAAGTTTTTACATGGAAAATTGAGTGCAATCAGTGTGCGGTGTGACTGAAGCGACGCTATGCTTGCGATGCTTTGCTGCTGTAGTCTTATATGTATCACAAAAAAGTATGGATATAATACGCAAAAATGGCGGCAACTCAGTGCCCGACCGCTATCTATAGCGGTGTGATGACTGTACACACCGAGTTTATATATGCTGTGCCTACTGCACACACAAGCCCCTTATCCACAGCAACGCTGTGCATAGCATCGTTCTGTATGAACGAACGACTGCGATGCATGAGGCAATTTTTACCGTTTATGCTATTTCTTTTTCGCTCATTAACTTCATGCAACCGAATTATTGAAACGACGAAGAATATTCTAGCGAAAATTTATTCTTTTTGAAAAATTACATTGCATGCCCAAATGATTTTTTTACGGTCTTTTAATTATTTATAGAAGTAATAAAAACGTTGCTGAATAGAGACAGAAGGAAAAAAACGTTGAAAAATGTGTTCAGAAAGATTTAGTACAACGGCTTAGACTTGTGATGGACGCCATATTCAAATGTACGGTATTGTGGAAAGAAAAATCCGAAAAAAATAAAAATTTCGAAAAAAAGCGCGAAAAATCCAGTTTGTTTGTAATGGAAAAATTGTTTTTGTTTATAAAATTGAATTCGTATCGCCATTTTTTCGAAAACTACGTAAATTCAAGCAAACGACGAAATAGAAAGCGCGTCGAACAAAGATGGCGGCCGTTTCGCCTCGAACAGAAAAATTCAACAAACTACTATAATTTCGAAATACCGCACAACGAAATGGACCAGACGAAAAAAAAAATTTGGATTTTTTTTCCGCAAAAAGAATTTACGCAAAAATCTATCGATTTACAAGAGAAAGGCAAAAGAAAATATTGAATAATTTGTATTTACCTTGTTTAATTTGTAGCTTCAATGCGGTCCTATGTCACAAACACTCAAACTGAGAAATGAAAGAATATTTCTCTTTTGCTTTTTTTGGTATCTACCGGAGCTACGTAAAAATACGTTTTAACACTTCGAGCTCTGTTACTGGAATGATGCTCGTTATACTGTTCTACCCCAGCTATACGCTCACTTCGTTTGGCTTGGCTCCGACAACGACGACGACCGATGACAGATGTGCGCGCGTTCGTTCAGCTGGTGTGGAAAATGAGTTCGTCTAATGCACACTCAACGAAACATCTGCTCGTTACGCGTTTGAATTTCGGTTGGTTAGTTTTATGAAATTGTTCACCTAAAAATTGAAATTTATCAAAAAATTGTGTTGTTTCCATTTACCAATATGAAACAAATCATTCAAAAGAATAATGAAATTTTTGCCAATGAAAAATTATTGTTCGTAGGTATTTGGTCGTATAAACGGAGCAGATGTTCAAATGTGCGACGAACGACACACATACCATTGAACGACACTAGGTGACGCCGCGCGACACACACGAACTCATTCCATTGGAAACTGGAATTGGTTGGAATTCGATGCGATGCTGGCAATTAGCTGATATCCATCTCTTTTCTTCCAATATTCGTGGTCGCTGTCTCTCTCTAACGCACATAACTTAATGGAAATTACCTAAGAATCAGAATTTTATTTCAAATGAAAAAAAATGGACAAAATCTTGAAAATGCCAAACAAACATGTAAACAATAATTGTTGCATTCATTTTCATTTGCTGAAAAATGAAAAAAACGCATAAAAATCATATCAGCGATGACAATATTTCAGGCGAAATATCGAATTTTAACATGAAAATGTTCCATTGAAAATGACGCGAGAGAGAAAAAATCCCGTGTCGGAAATATGTATTCAACGTTCTTTTCGGTCCCAACATGAATATTGGCTATTCAGCATCTTTTAAACTTTGTGGTGGAATCCGAATCGTAATTCGGCGAACCATACAAAAGTATCGGTAGGAAAATTAGCACATTCAAGATAATGAGAATTCACACAGCCCAATTTCGAAAACACGGCGATTTCTTCTATGCGTAATATTATGACACAAATGTCAAAGCGCTTGCTGTATAGCCTCAGTAGAAATGAATAAATTTTTTACTGAAGTGAGGCTATTTACAAGTGGCGAATTATTTTCCGTGATGAAATCGGCATTTTTATGATTGCAATTTTTTGAGCATTCATTTGGAAATTATTTTTTTGGGTGGAAATGTTGCGCGGTGTCGTTGGTTTTGTGAAAAATTATCCGAAAACAATTCGCCATTTTAGTACAACGAGCGTATCAATGGTGTTTGAAGAGAAACAGATTCAGCTGAACTGCAATAAGAATACGTATAATATAAATTATGTGCGCAGTGGTCATGGAGAGAATGCGGTGATTCTATTGCCTGGTGCATTGGGATCGGCTTTCACCGATTTCAAGCCACAAATTGAACAATTACCGAAATTACTGCCAAATTATACGATAATTGCATGGGATCCGCCAGGCTATGGCAAATCAACACCACCAAAACGTACATTTCCATTGGATTTTTTCCATCGCGATGCATCGGTCGCAAATACTTTGATGCAATCGCTTGATTTTCAGAAATATTCCATTCTGGGTTGGTCTGACGGTGGTATTACCGGCATCATAATGGCAGCTAAATTCAATGCATCTATTGAAAAACTAGTCATTTGGGGTGCAAACTCACACATTTTGCCCGAAGAAGTCGAAATTTATGAAAGTACGTAGAAACTCTTTGCTAAAAAGAAAAAGCGTTTGTAATTTTTTTCCCACACAATCGAAAGTGTTTGTCAATGTTGAAATATCAATATTAAGAGAATGATTCTATTTATTTTCTCGTCGCTGTCAAACGAATTGATTGTTTGAAACAATACCAAACATTATCCTATGCATACATGTTCGATTTGTTGTTTATAACGCTATTCGAAAAAGACTCGTTTAATCTCTGCGTTTCAAAATAAGCAACTGTTTGTTTTCGTTCTGAAAGGTATTAGAGATGTGTCAAAATGGTCAGCAAAGATGCGTGAACCGTTGGAGAAAATGTACGGCGTTGAATATTTTCCGCAGCTGTGGTCCGAATGGATTGATGGCATGAAACAGTTGTACGACAAAAACAATGGTGATATTTGTAAGAACGATCTAGCCGAAATCACTGCAAAGACATTGATTGTGCACGGGGCCAAAGATCCAATGATATTACCTCAACATGTGCCGTTCTTGAGAGAAAACATCAAATCAACCGAGTAAATTGTCTCATTTTATTTTTTTGGTTCCTCTTCCTTTTCGTTCATTTTTCATGAGTTCGCATATTCTCTTCACCTCATAACTGTGTTCATATTCTAATCAATTGTCACTTTTTCATCCCAAGCAGTTATTTCGAATTTCCGAACGGAAAACACAACATCCACTTGAGGTATGCGGACGAGTTCAACGAAGTCGTAATCAAATTCATGCTCAACAAATAAATTGTTAAATCTTTTATCGCGTCGGCACACAAACATATATCGTATATATACGTATGTCGAACAGTGGAGATGGTTGTTGTTTGTTTGATACAATATGCATGATTCATAATGGGTTCTATTTTGAAAAACAAAAATAAAATAAAGTCAACGATAAAAAAAAGAGTCCCGTTCACATCTTTCTTTCTTGTATATTTTTTCCGTCTTTTTTTTCTTCTTCTAAACACTTATTGGAAAATATTAATATTCACACAAAAAGTATACAGCAACAACTGTGTGTGTTGTTGTTGTTTGCCTGAATATTATACTGAACACAAATATTCTGCCAAACGGCTATAATATCCATAATCTGTTGATCTCATTCTACAAACGAAATAAATATTTTCTAAGACTTACATCGAAAGGAGATAGAATAGAGAGAAAGTGATAATGAAAACAATTTATGGAAAATAGAAATCATCTAAAAAATTTCGCTCATTCAACGACCGCAAAAGAAACCTACGGGAAAAAAGACATTGACAGAGCTGAAGCGAAAATTTCGACGAACATGTAGTGCTACACAGCGAGTGTCATGAAAAAAACATAAAAATTATAGTTAATACTTTGCTTTTTCGCAGCGCTTGATCTCACACGCACACTCGCTTATGCTGCTATTCATAGACCGATTTTGTTTTTTCCTCCAAATAAATTCTCAAAAACAACAAAAATAGAAAAAGAACAAAAAATTATGTATATTTATAGCAAGGTAAGAAAAATGACCTCTGGTATATGCTTCTGTATGATTTCTATTCTTATGCACTAAATTTCAAACGCTTGACAAATCCGTCTGAATCACCTACAAACACCGACGAGCTTTGTTCCGGCCCAGCGATCAGAGCGTTTATGCATTTGCCGGTGTCGATTTCTTCGACGAGAACTGGTTTTGTTTCCAAGTCCTTCCATTTTTTGACCTTGCCATCGAATCCAGCTGTGATGAGGAAATCGTCGAGTTCGCACATTACGTTGATGATCATTGTGTGGGCATTCTGTGGAATGTGAGTGGAATATGAGCAATTTGATTAGATACGTTCAATTTGTATAGTTCTTTTATTGTTGGATTTCTATTGAAAATACTGGACAAATTATTCCCGAAAAAAAACAAAACAAAAAAAATCATTGGGAAAAAACTCCAAAAGAAAATCTTGACAAAAACTTAGGATTCAGATAAAAGTTTCACTTGAAAAAGCGCTATATAAATATGTTCGGTAAGTATGCATACCTCTTTAGTGGCGAGTACTTTGAATGTTCCGTTGTTGCTAACGACAATACCTTTGCCGTCACGGGTGGCAGAGACGACGTATTTCTTGGTCTTGATGATTTCTGGTACATATGATGCGCGACGGCCCATTGGTACACTGTCAGGAATAAATGGCTTCTGGGTTCCGAACAAAATCAATGGGGCACGCCCTGGAATTACTCCTTTTGTCACTTGGCTCATCATGTGTGGAGTGATATCAGTGATTTGCACATCTGTTTCGCGAACGGTGTACAAATTATTTTCTTCGACAGCCATGCTCTTCACTTCTTCGGCTACGTTGTATTGTGCACCGACTTGATTGTGGTACCATTTTGTGACGATACCCTTATCGTCGCCAGAGAAAAGAACATCGTTTGCAATATAAAGTGCGGTCACATCATCCTGGACCGTTTGCAAAAGGATGTCATTGTTGTCGTGGCTCCATGGGCGGCGGAAATACCGCAAACTACCATCACGTCCACATGAATAAAGTTGCTTATGGCTATTTGCTACTAATGCGAGCACTGCAAAATCTTTGTGGACTGGAATTTCGCGATTGAATTGCAAATCTTTTGACCACATCTGAAGGATATCAGAAAAAAAATGAATTTTAATTTAAAAAAAAAGTTAAGGAAGAAATAGAAGTATCACGAATGAAATGAACCATAAAATTAAAACGGAACTTCACAAAAGTAAATAATTATTCGATGAAGTTTCTAGTAAGTTCCAGAACATGTTTCATTTTTCATTAACAAGTTGAAACACCATAAATTTTCTTACATTAATAACTCCATCTGCGCTGCCTGAGTACAAATGATCGCCGTCAAAAGCCAAGGCTGTAACTTCGCCCGCATGCTTGTGGCTAGCTTCACTGATTAAATCGATTTTCGCAACCATTTTTTCTATGCTTTCTGTTTTTCACTTTCGTTTTCCCTGAAAATTCACACGCAAAAAAAAACCGAACAAAGAAAATTCACGTCACTCCGTTCACTTCGGTGTTAGATGCTTGAAATTTCAACTGAAACTGATCGGCGGAGTATCAAGCCATCTGGCATTTATACGTTTTGTCACGGAGTGTATGCCGTGCCCACAACTTCAATAAAGTACAGATCGTACGCCGCCAATACGATATTTTTTATGTGGATTTATTTTTAGGCCAATCGAATAAACACACTTGCTCTCTCACTCACATCGGTGGCCGTTGGCTGGCTCACCGAGCATACATCGTACGTAAACCTGCAAACTCGGGAATTCGGACTTCGTCGCATTTTCAGAATATTCATCTCGTCAACACGGTGACACCGCACATCGTCCAGAATGAGATTGTCATCACAATATTTCTTTGGCCGGCTTCGTTTTGGCTCGAATGTTATTTTAAAGTGCATTTTCTGATTTTCACCCAGCTTCAAAAGAATTTACCATTGCTTTTTTGCCAAAATTCATGTCTGTCGCTGTTTCGTGATATTCGCATTTTTGCGCATTAGATGATGTTTTTGTTTTTGTCTTTGTTTATGCCTTTGTTTTGCATGTATTTTAAGAGCCAATCTGAATTATTGTCGGCATATGAGCCAAATTCATTCATTCAACGATTTGTGGAGTATGACTAATCCACACATTTATAGAATACAAACATATTTGGGTGACTGCAGTATATTCTCTGCGTTTTTTCTCCTTTGTCATCGGTCAAAATCACCTCGAATATTTTTATTTATTTTTCTTATGGGCAAAAATTACGTTTTAATTCTCACACACAAAATTTACGGCAGAATAATATAAAAAACGATGTGATCGCGAGCCAATTTTGAGAGTGGTGCCATTACCAATAAAACATAACAAATTGAACGATGTCAAACAGCAAATTAACTTTTTAATGGGATATGCGACGAATATTCAATCTATGTGTTCCAAGTATTTTACTCTGGTGACATTCACCACTCCAAACATTTTCCAAGCGCGCATTTTCAGTCACGCCGAATATCACATGTTTAACAACTTTCTTGCATCATTTCATAAACGAATTGAACTCAACCATTTGAAAAATGGCTTTTCGCGAAATTACGCACAAATCAGCAATATCTCATCGGTAGCAATCGAAATTGTTCTCATGTGAAAAAAGTGGCGTATGAAAACAGTCATGAAATAAACAAAAACAAGTCACACAAAAACCGATTGAAGACCATCAAAAGGATTTATTATGTCTAAACAGCCATTTCATCTAGCCAATTATTTAAGACGAACAAAAAAAAACCGCACAGAAAACAGTTTTCTAGTTCATCTTCGTTTTTATGAATAAAAAAATTCGTAAGTGAATCGCGAGCAAAAAAATCCAACGACCCAAATTTTGCACGACACTCCTTTTGTTTTTTGTTACAACAAAAACAACTATGAAGGTTGGGTGTGTTTTCTCTTTGCGGGGCATATCACGGCCGAATTAGGTCAGATTATTGTAAACATTGGCGGTGTGATCAAGTGTATCGTTTTTTTACGCACCACCTTCAAAAATAACATGATGTACGCGTTTCATATTGATCAAAATGAGCACTGCCATGATTTATCACGGAAATGTTATTTCGCGCGCTTTTTTAAATTCTATATTTATGTCTTTGCGTATCGGATGTTTATGATTTGGGAAAAGTGGCAATAGTTCTTTTTTCCTCTATAATTCGTTGATGTTTTTATTGGGAGTAGGACAGATACATGCTACGGTTCACGTTCACTCTACCAACTTTGATGATGAAAGCAAACAAACAACAAACTGATGAAAAACTTCTCGAAACATCGATGACGTTGTTTTCTATAAGCTGGTTATACCTAGTGGTTTCTTCTCGAGCGTACGATTGGCCCAGTGCCAGAACCACTTAAGCGTTGTGCATAAAACTATGCCGTTTTCGAAATGCATCGTAAATAATGTTTGCGTTCGATTTGATGAATTAGAAAAAAAACGATAAGGCGGATGTTTGTGTTTGGCAACGAACCTCTAATTGAAATGAATGTCATGTTCACGTTTTATGAACTTCGAGTTAAGCGGATAGTTATTACTCATAAAACAACGGTGTGTTTCAGTTGCGATTTGCACGTAGAGTGTCTGGTTGAAGATTGTGCTGTCAGTTTTAAACTGAAGTGATCAAAAAATTATTTTATTAATAACTGTTGGGCGCTGCACGCACCGTACATAAAATGGCAACAACGCTAGAAGAGTGTCTTGTGAGTTTGTCAAGTGCAAACGATTGGCACGGTATAATCGAAGCGGCGAAGTTATTTAGCATCGAAGAACGATCAAAGTTCCTATGGGCATGGCCAACTAACGAGTGTTTACAGTGATTGAAGCGGCATTTAATCAAAAATCATATTACAAGTGTTCTGAGTGTGGGCTGTGGTTCTGGTTCGCTTGAGTGGCTCATCAGTAAAACGACCGACGTCAATGGCATTCCTTGAATATGTTCGAGCGTATAATGGTGATTCAATCGTTATTGTCGGGCCAAGTAGTGAACAATATATCGTCACCGATCCAAATCCATTAAATCCAAGATTTGAACATGATGAATGGACACTACTCGACTACTGTCACTTTAACGATCAACTTTTCAATTGCATGAGCATTTTCAAACGGAACAGATTTTATGAGTCAATTGTAAAATAAGAAATATAGACGAAGGCATAAAATAAAAACTCAAGATGTTTTTTTCTCCTCATTTCCATCAGATGAGTTTATTGATTCCACAACAGCAAAAGGAACAAGTGATTCGTGACAATTTTCATCAATTTTTTTTCCTGTGTGTATGTGTGTGTTTGTGGTGAAAAAACAATTACACTGGTGTTTGGTGTACACGTTCATAAAATACAATATTCAACCGAAAAATCACACATTGAAGTATTCAACAATTGAAAATGAGTGACAAAATGCGTAATGCTTGTCTCTATTTTTAGATTTACAAATTGTACACAATATTTCATCTCCGAGAAAGAGAGAGAGAGTGAGAAAAATAAACAAATATAATGATTCTTCTTTGTTAGCTGTCAAACAGTTGGGAATGTAGTAGTTTTACATGAAATATGAAAACACCTCATTGCAATGTTCATCTCAATCATTTCAATAGACAAATTTCTTGTATATTTTTTTTTATGTTGTTCTTTAAACGGTAAAACTGTAACTTGCCAAGTGAGTTTTAATTTGTGAAAAAAAAATTTCATTTGGTTGTTTTTTTTTCCTTTTTCTTCTATCATTTCCCTCTTCTTACTCTGTATTACTCTTTTTTTTGCTTCGTGATGGCTTATTTCTAGTTGTATGTTTTCCTGTGTTTTCAATTTTTTTTTTTGCCCTAAAATCATTGACATTATTATCTACAGTTCGTCGTGGCCGGTAGCTGCATCGCTATCGACATGCGGCGAGTGGATGCAAGCGGCTGGGGTTTCGAATTTAAATAAGTATTCACAACGATTTGGTTCGGAGACGGCAGTTACTCGATTATCTAAACCACAATCCAATTCAACAATTGTCGAACGCTGGGGACCATTCCAACAGCCGGCACCTAAATGAAAGAGACATACCGAATTCATGAGTTATTGTGAAAAGAGAACAAAAAGTGGAATTCAAAATTAATTTCAAGGACACGCACCATTTGAATATAACATCGTTGAATATTTGTTCGGTTTTCCATCCCATCGATCCCAACCACCGAGTCTAAAGAAAGAAATCGAAATAAAATTAGGAAAAATTGCAAGAAAAATATGAAATTTGATAAATGTTCAGACAATTAAGAAAATGAACCGGTCTATTTACCTTGTTTCACCACCATCTTTTGGCTTTTGAACAGCACGATCGAATGGGCAAAGTCGGTAGATGTATTCACGGTCTTCGTATTCGAAGCATTCTCCATTCAAAATGGCGAATTCTTCGTGTGGTCCATAGTCTTTGTTCAACAACTCATCGATTTGTCGCTTTTCTGCCTCCAAATCACGCAATTCACGTTGGGCTGCTTCAAAGTCGCTACGGGCCTTAGTTGCTTCTTCGATCAATCGCTTAGTCTCTTCATCGTATTCTGGATCACCTGATGGAGCCTCAACTTGCTCAACCTCACCTTCTCCCGTTTCTTCTTCATCGAATGTTTCAGCGTCCTCTTCATTTTGTAATTCTGCAATTTCGCCGTCTTCATGAGCCTCTTCTTCACGTATGGTTTCTTCGTGTTTGGCTTCGACTTCTTCTGTTTTTGCTGGTGGTTTGAATAGGCCAGCATCGAGCATCAAATACGGTTTCATACGTGGCCAACAGAGTGTGACGAATGTTTCCAAATCGACTTGGTCGTGGTGATCCAAGAAATACTTTAGATAAGATAAGAGAATTCGATTAGACTTCAATGACACTACCTTTTCATGGAAAATCATTAATTGAAATACGAAAAAGTAATACCAGAGAAGAAGACAAACATTTTCCACTTACCTTAGCTTCCTCTTCATCAACTTGTCCGTCACGATTCGAGTCGAATTGCACCCGTGTTGTTATTTCGCTAATTTCAATCACACCATCACCATTCGAATCGAATAGCTTGAATTTCTCCTCAGCCTCGGCTCTATTCTCCTGTGCAGCCAAATCGGCTTTTCGTTGTTTTTCCTCATCGATGATTTGTTTGTACATCTCAAGTGCTGCTGATTCCAATTTTTCGGCGGCTTCCTTAATCTTTTCCTTTTCGTTCTTCAACGCATCAGCCTGATCGATTGACTGTTGAATTGTGTTCAACCGTGAGCTTTGTTCCTCTTTCAATGCCTTCCCTTTGGTGCTCATTTCTGATCGAATCAAACTACCACGTTTCAAGAGATCGGCCATGACTTTCTGTCGTTGTCTCGCCTCTTGGCCCAATTCATCACAATTGTTAGTACATTCGGCCTTCGATGCATATTCATCAGAGGCATCACAACAATCGCAAACTCCATCATTCACGCGTGAACTTGGAATTACCATCGATTGATGGCCCGTGTTCTCACAATGGAATTTACCGTTTGGACACGCACTCGTTCCCGGCTCATCGCTGCTATCTTCACAATCGCAATAGTCGTCATTGACTTGTGTGTATTTGATGGTCAATTTGCCATCTAGGCATGTGAATGTGTCACTGGGTGCATACAAACTGGCCAAGCTCAATGAAACCCCCCTTGGTCGTGGTACATCGGCCGCAACAAAAATGCCGAAATACAAAAACGCTAATAAACTACGGAAAATTTTCTCTAAATCTACCAACATTTTGTCACTATTGATTACACCACGTCTAACAATCAACAACTAGGTATTGAGGTAAAGTTTTATTGATTAAGTGCGTTAAATTAGGATTAAATGAAAAAGAAATTCGAAATCATCGATGGAATATTAGGTTTTTTCTTTCTTCTTTCGCAGTGTTTAATCTTTTGCTTACTTAAGAACTAATACACGTAAGACAATGCCAACAATGACAGCTTGAGAATTTGATAAACGTCGCAGCGACATCAAATTTCATACAGCTGAGTGAACGTTGAACATGCATTTTGACACTTTTTCGTGGCTATTCAGGATATTTTATGTGATAAAAGTCAAATTAAAATTGAAATTTTCAATGGAAATTTTATTTCAAAGCAATTTCCTTCATTTATTTCAATTTTTATTGCAGTTTTTTTCGCTTTGCCGGTAATTTTTCATTTGATGCGGCCACATTTACCCTATCAACATGTTAAATTTTTTCACTGACGTTTCATGCGTACCAACTGTTCGACGTTCAAAATCCCTCGATTCATTCTCGAACAATAGACCGAATAACGTGATTTAGTCCTATTCATTTACTGTGTACATTCGTTTGGTGTGTTCTGCTGACAGACAAAGCAAAGAATTCTTTTTTCTCACTTGTTTAGGAATTTTACTGATTTTTTCGAAACAAAAAGATGTCAACAGTTGCGAGTACCTTATCTATCGCTGGGTCACGGACCTCAGGCGCACCAGTTCGTACACAAAATGGTAAGAATTTTCTGAAAAAATCGCAAACAATTGCACAGATGTCGGCAAATTGTATGGCATTTTTGCCTTCAAACATTAGTCATCAGTTGCACGCGGTGAAAAATTGATCAAACACTTTGAAAGACGACACTCAGAAATTGTGATGGAAATTATGATTTGAAGTAAAATTACCAAAATATAATGGGAATGAGTTGAATTAGTCAGTTTTGACCGAGTTTCTCAGTGAAAATAATGAAAAGTTGTGTGCAATTTGAGGTTAGAATTTCAATGTGTTTTATGCACTGTCTTTGGGTGCGGTAAATTCAAAATTGATGAGTTTTTCGGGATGAATTTGTCACTGGAATTGAGTTTGGTTCTTTTTTTATTACAGTCATGGCAGCAGCTTCAATTGCCAACATCCTCAAGAGCTCACTCGGACCAGTCGGTTTGGATAAAATGATGGTTGATGACATCGGTGATGTTACCATCACCAATGATGGAGCCACAATCCTCAGACTCTTGGAAGTTGAACATCCAGCTGCTAAGTAAGTTGAGAAAAACTTTAGCTCTGCCTCCTTTGTTCATTATTCATTTGCAACGCTTTTTTTTACAGAGTTTTGGTTGAGTTAGCTCAATTGCAAGACGAAGAAGTAGGCGATGGAACCACATCGGTTGTCATCTTGGCTGCCGAACTTTTGAAGGTAAATTCCATTTTACATCCCATTTATAGGAAAAGATTCTAAATTTTCGGTCAATTACAGAACGCCGATGAATTGGTGAAACAAAAGATCCATCCAACTTCCATAATTTCCGGTTACCGTTTGGCCTGTAAAGAAGCCTGCAAATACATTTCAGAGCATTTGACAGCACCAGTCGATGAATTGGACCGTGAAACCATAATTAATGTGGCAAAAACATCGATGAACTCGAAATTGATTGGAGCTGATGCCAATTTCTTCGCTGCAATGGTCGTTGATGCTGCACAAGCCGTTAAGATTTTGGATCCAAAAGGAAATCCAGCATATCCAATTAAAGCGGTTAACGTACTTAAAGCCCACGGAAAATCAGCCCGCGAAAGTATTATTGTGCAAGGTAAGCTTGAAAAGTCTATTTTTTCATTGAAAAAGTGTAGCATTGCTTCGTCGACTACGATATTTCTGTCACGTGAATGAAAATTTGAAATTGAGTTCGAATATTTTTTTTTGGATTGAAAAAGAATTCTCATGAGTTTAAAATATTTTTTTTTATTGAACAAGATGTTTTATGATTGGAAACTCGAAATTACCAGTTAATATTTAGCACTATCCAATTGCATTGTCTCACCTTGGTTTATATTTCATCATAGGTTATGCCCTGAACTGTACCATTGCCTCACAACAAATGCCACGTAAAATCACCAACGCCAAGATCGCTTGCTTGGATTTCTCGTTGCAAAAGACCAAAATGAAGATGGGCGTGCAAGTATTGATCAATGATCCAGATAAATTGGAAGCAATCCGTGCACGTGAATTGGACATCACAAAGGAACGTATCAACCGTATCCTTGCTACTGGTGTGAATGTTGTTTTGTGCTCAGGTGGCATTGACGATTTGTGTTTGAAATACTTCGTCGAAGCCGGAGCCATGGCTGTTCGTCGTGTGAAAAAGTCCGATTTGAAACGTATTGCCAAAGCAACGGGTGCATCATACTTGACTTCACTTACAAATCTTGAAGGTGAAGAACAATTCGATGCATCAAATGTTGGAGAAGCAGCCGAAGTCAGCCAAGATATCATCTGCGACGATGAGCTCATTTTGATCAAGGGACCAAAAGCAAGGTAAGAACGATTCGCATCGAATGATGATCAATTTTGTCGTATCAATCACTAATCAATTTCCCATTCTAATACAGAACTGCATCATCAATCATTTTGCGTGGTCCAAATGACTTCTACTGTGATGAAATGGAACGATCCATTCACGATTCGTTGTGCGTTGTCAAGCGAGTATTGGAAGGTAAAAAAGTGGTTGCCGGTGGTGGTTGTGTTGAAGCTGCCCTTTCGATCTACTTGGAAAATTTTGCTACTTCATTGAGTTCACGGGAACAATTGGCTATCGCCGAGTTCGCCAAGTCATTGTTGGTCATCCCAAAAACGCTGGCCGTTAACGCAGCCAAGGATGCCACAGATTTAGTAGCTAAATTGCGTGCTTACCACAATTCCAGCCAAACGAAAAACGATCACGCCAATCTCAAGTGGGTCGGTTTGGATCTGTTACAAGGCGAAGTCAGAGACAACAAAAAAGCCGGCGTTTTGGAGCCAGCAATGTCAAAGATTAAAGCGTTGAAATTCGCCACAGAAGCCGCTATCACCATTTTGCGTATCGATGATCTGATCAAATTGCATCCAGAAGACAAGGGTGACGCGAAAAACTATGCTGATGCACGAGCACATGGAGAATTGTAAACGGTCGATTAAATCAACTCAAAGACACATAACCTTCAGTTCACAAAACTCATTTACAACCACCAATCACACCAATATGAATAAATGAATAGCTTGCATTTAACATTGTCTGCCTAAAAATAATTGGAAACAAATACACCTTGGAACAATCTAAAACACACACACACATAAATTCATCAGATTTATGGAAATCTATTACTTTATTATCTAATAAATTTTGTTTCTCGTTTAAAACATTTAACAATAAAAACAAATGAAAAAGCTTTCAATTTATGAATTGTTTTTGATATAATTCTTTTGGTATGCGGTGGGGTGTTGGTATTATTTCTTCTGTTTCAGAGTTTCCACTTGTTTGGTCAAGATGTTGACTTTGGCCTCGTATGTCTCTTTCAGGTCCTGCAAATAGAAGCAATCATTTTATTTAGCAAAAAATCATTTCATTCATAAGCAAAAAAAGCTCAATCACAAAGTCGCTTCAGTTCGCTTACTTTGAAGATATTCCGTTGTGTCTCGTATTCTTTCGTCAATGCGATCTCTTTTTGTTTGGCCAAATTCAATTTCTTCTCCGTCAGTAAGAATCGATCATTTTCACTCTTCACTCGTAGTTTCATTGAGTCCAATCGCGATTGCATGTGGTCGTTTTCGATGTTTTTCAAGTTCAGCATATCCTTTGTAATATCCAACACATCTTTATTTGCTTCGATTTGGTTATTGAGTGCCTCCAATTGTAATTCTTGTTTCTTGCAAATTTTCGTCTTCTCAAACAGTAGCTCCTTGGCACGGGTGAGTGTGTCGTCATCATCGGATTTATTCTTTCCTTTGCCACTGAATGCTGATAGATCTTTCATAATTCCCTCCAATTCTTTGTTTCTTTCGGACAAACGTACGCATTCTTCCGTTTTAGCCTAACGAATCATTTCAACGAACGAATGTGTTGATATATATCACTCTTGAGTATTTCTCAATACATTACCGTTTTTGGAATAGCTAATAAAATGTTAAGAGTATTCAGAATAGCTTACCACAAGCTCGTTTTCCAACTTCTTCACTTTGCCGCGAACAATTTCAACGAATTTAATCCGATCTTCTTCGAGTGCCTTGAGTTTAGCCATCAATTCCAGTTCCTTGAGCGAATATGCCTCGGTTTGAACAGGTGTTGGAGCCATTTTCAGCAATAAAATTTATAAAATTTTCTATAACAAGAACAATTTCCGCTGTGATTTTTCGGCAAACTAAATTTCACTTTGACAACTCATACGGAAAAAAAAGTCGAGTCGCAGTGCTCGGCACACTATCGTTCTGAATCATAAGACACTTCGTTGTTTTATTTTTAAACTCGCGCGCACTATACAGCAGCCACAGCAGCAGCTTCATCATCATCATCGTTGAGCATCGCAACACAAATAGAATCATATAAACACTGACGATTTAGCTATTTCGACCGCATTTTCCGTGAGCCTACCGTTACCGCATACATGTGTGTGATGTGCCCAAATTAGCTATTGGATATTCGTTATTCGAAATCTAAAAAAAAAATCATTTTGTACATTAATACTGAATTTCCGTTAGCTCCAGGTGAACTATTGTGGTTGGTTGAATTGATCATGAAGCCAAACATCGCCACAAACGAATTTTCTATTCCAAAACACGAAATTCAACGGACAAAAAAAGTCGAAACAAAAGATACCCATTGTTTCTATCCCTCAAGTGCGAAATAAACTTAAATTTATTCATAGCACACCGTTTTTTTAATGCTCCTTTCATCCGTTTAATGAATTCACGGTGGTTTCATTGTTTGCCCTTTTGTCGAATTCAAAAAACGCCATACATTCCACTGGCAACCCTCCCCGATTGATGTTGACGGGCAGAATGGACAAAAAAGCGTGTAGCAAGCAGTTCATCGGTGGATGTTTCTTCAACCCTTCAAGCGTATCGCGAGCATATCGATGTATGGTATAGTAAACATTCATTCATTTAGACTGTGACCCCTACACCAATCGTCGTGTACAATCACGATATGGCGCAAGCATGCGCCGCTGTTTACAACTTTCCCACAGACACACACACACACACACACAATGTGTCACACACACATAGAGTGTGACACACGCGCGCGTACACACTTATTCCATTTTCAAACGTATAGCGTACGAGTAAAACGCTACACACAAAATCCTTCGTCTCCAGTAGACCGAGAATGGAATAATCGAAAATACAAGAGAAAAAAAAATCGTCTTTCCTGTCTATTCGTGCATATCATTTCAAAGTGAACGCATTTTCGGCCAATATTTGGTCTCAATTCGAATGTAAGTGAGAAGAATAATATCAATTTATTTGTTAAGACGGGGGCGGTTGTGTAAAATTCATTAGTTGTGCTGTTCCATTAACCCCAACACCGTCTGCTGTCTGCTGTCTGCTGTCGATTCGCAATTGCATGACCACATCAGTACTACGCACACTTATTAAGAGATTAACAAACGACGAATATAATGGAGCCGCCATCATCATCGGCAGCACACAAATGCGAGTAAGCACACACCTATAAAAGAAACGAAAATTTTCAAATAAAATTTTAAAACTAGCGTATGACACGAAAAAAAAGTCTAGTCTATTGATATGGTTTCGCCCAAATTGTTCGGTTCGTCTAATTTGGTGATAATATTTTGCTCTCGTCCGTCGCTAAAATTCTTGTTGAATGTTCTTTTCGCTGTTCAGTAACACTGTTGAATGTTATTGTGACGACAGTCATTTATACGGGTTTTTTGATGTTACAAAAAAATTTCTACGATTTTTTTCCTTCTTTCATTGTTTAAAACAGTTCCAATGGCATAATGATGCGTGTAACTAAACGAAGACAATAAGACAAAATTCAACAAAATGATGTTGGCGGCCAATTTTTGTGGGCCTGGAATGTTGATTCCAGCGCTTCTCAAGGAAAACAAACTATATACGTCACATTTTTGGATCATCGCCATCCTATTGTTGCTTCCATTGATGGGGGCAAATGCCGAAAAGAATAAAAATTGTAAGTGAACGCCATTCGAAAGGTTATTTTTCAATTTAGAGGATTTCCATGATTTTCGCTTTTTTAATCATATTTATTTGTATATCATGAACCCTTTTTCAGATCACATCCAAACGTTGTGTAAAAACCATTTCTCCCAATTGATGTATAAAAAGATTGACGGGGCTCTGTTGTGGTCGCAAAATGAACGGAATCTCAATTGCGGCGTCACATTTCAGACGCATTCCATTTTACAGCGATTTATGTTGCGCTTCGATATGCTTCAATTAGATTGTAACGATCATTTATTCATTTATGACGGTGCGAATGCAGTCGGTCAATCGAAGTATAATGTATCGTGTAGAAATACAAAACAGTTAGTCGGTGCGCTGTTTACGCAAACCAATTTTGTCACATTAAAATATGTCACAGACAATTGGGGCACGGATAGCAATGGGTTTAAGCTCATTATTACCGCCATCAAAGATCCAAGTGAGTAAAAGTGGAACACTTGTGTGTTGTGCTCAAGGCTTTTGTACTTGAAAAGAAAAAAACACATCAAACATACAAACCAAATATTAAATACCTTTGTGGTTTTTCATTTCAGAGCACGTATGCCAATCATTTTTGTGTGCTTCTCGAGAGCTCTGCATCCATCCAGACTTGGTGTGCGACGAGGTGAACCACTGCGGAGATAATTCTGATGAGAGCCATTGTCAGAGTAAGTTTATTTCATTTACGACGCAGCTAATTTTCGTTGAATATCATGGCTTAACCATTTTATATGGTCCTTTTCGAATAAATTGTAACAATCAAAATGAATATACAAAGAGAAACGTCGTTAATTCCAAAATTATTTTAAATATAATAATAAAATTTAAAAAAAAATAAAAATTTATAAATAAATTCTAAATTTATTGCATTAAATCTTACAAATAATTAAAATTAAAAATAATTTTTTAAAATTTTTCAAAAGGTAACAAAGCAGCTACATTGCTGGGACTTGAGCTGACGTGGCTCGTACTGGTATCAGTGACATTCTTTTTGGCCATTGGAGGCGTTTTGGCCGGTTTACTGATGTGCGTATGCCGTCAAAATCCGAATTCGTCTGAAAATCAGATTCAATGTAAGTCTCCAACTGAAACAAGTTTGCTTTATTCTTTTTTCATTTTCTCGTTTTATTTCAATTTTCACTCTTTTCTTATCTTCTGATTGGTTTTATTTTCTTCTCAAATCCCTTTTCTATTGTATTTTTGAATTATGTTTCATATTTTGCTTTGACACAAATTAGCGCCTTTATCATCAATTAAACGTTATTAATCACGGTTCGATAACAATTTTTTTTTCTCCTCTCTGTTTGCAGCAATCGACATGAATGGATCAACGAAGTATCTGCATAAATTGCATTCACACAAAACGGCATCGTTGTCGGGAAACTTGCATCACCCTGCGAACAAACACGGGTACACACAACAAATATTGTCGATGGTCACCGAACACCAACGCATATGGCGTCTAGCGATCTATTAAATATGAAACAATTTGATCCAACTAATTTATCCCAAACGACAACGTCGACGATTGTCACAACTGCACAGAAGGAAGAGTGGTTTGTTTGAGACGAACCGCTTTGCCCATAGACGATGGATACGAACAAACAAACTAGAATTTTTCAAACGAATTTTTCTTTAGGATATCTCGATCGTGATCAAGAACGTAGCAAAATGACAAACCCAACAAAAATGGATAAATTAGCGTTATCATATTTATTAGGTGAAAAAAGAAGGACGAACGCGAGTGGTAGTTTATATTTTGATGTTGAGTGACTTGAAAACAATATTTCTTAGAATATCGAATTCGCAGGGTGTAAAAAAATTTACAGGATGTACCCAACAAAAAAAAAACAAACAACAAAATGCTCACTTCCCTTTGGAAGGAGGAGCCAATTTAATTAAATAAGATAAAAAAAATGTCACACAAATAGTACATTTTCTCTCTCCATTTTTTGAAGACTTTTTTTGAACGTATCATTTTTGACTGTTTTATCATAAGAATTTTTTTCTAAACGTTTAACTGAATTAACAAAAAAAAGAACAAAAGTATATTAATAAAATGAATTGTAGATGAATATATCAGCACTATGCTAGTTAAGGAATGAGATAACAACACAACAAACAAACCCAACAACAAATGAAATATCAGTTCAATTAAACAGACAAAAACAACAACAACACACACACACACAAAGAGATTAAATTTTAAGAGACTAAATGTAGTTTAAAAAGTTCGAAAGACTTTAAGGTCGTATAAGTGTTGAAAGTAATTTATTTTTCCCCTTTATTGTACCTACTGTATCGAATTCAATAGCGCGAGCGAATCTGTATCAGTGAGAATGGAGAAAAAAACACCAGGAAACAAACACCTAAATAGAAGAATATTTTCCCCCCGAATCAAAAATCATATTCCCAATTTTATTTTCGTAGCGAAAAGATCAAAACATATTTACTTTATCAAATCAAAAAAATGAGAATATTCCATTTTATTTGCAAGATTTTCTCTTCTATTTTTTGTTTTTGCTTATGAATCTTTTTTTTTCGAGAGAACAATTCTTCAATCTTAATTACGTGTCACGGATTGGTAATCAAATTTATTTTTATGCAATAGGCTTATTTACTTTAATCATTAGCACATTACAATTATGTTAAGCGACAATGAAAAAAGACAAATTTGAAAAGAATTTATTTCATTACATCTTTCGTTCAATTTCTAACTGGAAGAGAAAGAGAAGAAATAAATCTAACTAAATAAAAACCACAATTTGATGTCAGAGTAAACCAAATAGAAAATAAATAGTGAATATTGATGGCCTGATTCAAGTAGCTGTGTTTTCATTAAAATTCAGGTTGATGTCATTGAACCGCCCTGTTTTTAGCCAGCGTCCGCTTTATCGATGGAATCGAGAGACATGGGTTGCCAATGACCACTTAGTTTTGAACTCTTTTCCGCATGTTTTGCATGAAATCATGTGCTTAATTTGCGAATGTCTAGTCAATGAATAAAAAATTCAATACATGATTTAATGGGCACTTGTTGAATAATTGATTTTGACCTTACCTTGATGCCATGTGCCGTCGCTTTGCCGCAATCGATGTAAATGTCCGATTACACATTTTACACTTGAGCGTTTCGTCAACTTGACCGTTATTCCATGCTGAAATTGAAACGAAAGAAGAAAAGAAAACCAAACAAAACGGTAAGTGTCTGTATTTCTACAATGATTTTTAGAAAAATCATAAAAAATTGAAATGAAATAAAGAAATTCTTTTGTTAAAAATCAATTAAAAAGAAAAAAAAAGTAAGCTAAGCCAGAACGAACATAAAATCGAAATACAGTCTGTCTAGTTATAGACGATAAGGGATATCTAAGTGAAAACACAAGAATTTTTCAAATTTCTCTTTCGAGATATTTTTATTGAGCCTTCAGCTCGGTCGCAAACAATTCAATAGTTAATCCATTCGCCTTGTTTTTCGATAACACGGGCACAGCGTGAAGGCATACTTTTGCTCAAATTTTCAGCATATTCTCGCGAAAGGCTGTCCCACTGGCGCTTCAAGAACAAAGTGAGATGTTTTGTGCTTCGAATATGTTTGCCTTTGAGTCTCTGCTTCATGATGGACCAAACGTTTTCTGTTGAATCCCATTTTCCTCTTTCCAAGCAGTACATAAACGACTTTTGTGTTTTGGGTCGTTGTCTTCTTGTAGAATCCATTTCGACGTATCGTTGCCATAGAACTTCTTGGCGGTGGGGAGCAATGTCGATTTGTACAACTGGCGCATTCGATACTTCTCTAGGATACCAGTAAACACGGTTAATTTACCAAAACCGGCTTCACAGAAGGCTCCATACACATGCACCTTTTGCGGATGCTTAACCGTGCGAACCACCGTTCTTTTTTTGCGTGTGCACCAAGTTTGGGTGAGGGAATTCGACAACCAAAACGATGATTCATCTGTGTATATAACTTTGCTCCAATCAGTGTCCAAATTTTCGGTTGCCCATTGTAGTCGTTTTTCGATATGTTCTGGTTTCAAAAGAGGTTTTTTCATTGTGGAGCGATACTTTAACGACATTTTACCTAATCTCTTTCGCAGTGTCTCTCTTGAAACGTTGATATTTGATCGACGTAGTCGTTGTACCCCCTGACGCAACGACAAACCTGGGTTTTGATCGAAAACCTTAGCAATACGCTGATCTTGCTTCGGCGTGGATGCTCGGTTGGGCTTAATGTTTGGCTGGTCGTTCACATTTTTTTCACGTTTATATTGATCTACCCAACGCTGGACGAATGGCACCGTCTTTTTAATGTATCGGGCGGTCGCTGTAAGCGATAATTTTGGCCCGCGTGGATGCAAATGCAGGAAAACTGCTTCAAAACGTTTAGTATAGTATTCCGAATTCATGTTTTCAATTAAAATAAGAGCACCAATGTGACTTTACATCTGTCAAATGCAGTTTGCGACCGAGGTTAGAGTCGCATCTGACCACACCAAAAAGCCTATTTAAATATATTCAAATTTGAACATCGTTTTCCCTTATCGTCTATAACTAGACAGACTGTAAAACAGTCGTCGTATTCTTCATTCAAAAAAGACATAATTTTATTCTTCATTTCATTTGTACAGTTGGGCTTAAAAGTAGTATGTTTCATTTTTCTGACACTTGAAATAGTTTGTTTGCTGCCCAACGGCAGAATGCTACATTTAGAAAAAATAATCAATTAAATTTCACTTAAACTCGTACAAAAAAACGGAACTTATTACGGTTTGCAATCGAGTTGCAAACCAGAAGTTGTGTTTGCATTGATATTCCAAAACTATCGCTTCAATTCGTTATTGTTACATAAATAAGTGTTAAATTTGCTTGTCCAATGGTTATTCTGTGTTTGTTTCTCATAAATTATATTGAAAAGAATCTAATATCAATCGCACGCTTGCAAACTAGAGTGGGTTGTTGTTGTTGTTTTTATTTTTTAATAATGGACGCAAAATTAGAAGCTATTCATTAAAAATATGTATGGAATTAAAATTTTTTTTTTTTCTGAATCATAAAACAATGTGTGCACACTCGTAAAAAAATCAACTCGTATCGAAAGTGGATATCGGTCCATTTCTTTTGGCAAAAAATAAAGTCTATTTTGTGCTTGAAATTTTGTTTTAGATCTGTCAGCGGAGCGGATCAATTGTTATGGCACCATGAAAATGTGTATGTGATCATGCACGATAAAAATCTTCATAGTTCATGTCTTTCGATTTGTTTTTTTCTTCTGAACAAAATCTCCATGCTATGTGAGAGATAGAGAGGGAAAAGAAGAATTTCGCGCAAAATGTGTATGGCGCATTACGAAACGGTGGTTTAGGTTGTGGCAGAGCCGGGCTTTTGCTCATGAGCAATGCGCACATGTTCACGCAGACTGTATTTATTTTTGAATTTCTTTTGGCAATGTTCACATTGGCGCGGCGACTGTTCAGTATGTTGTGTTCGTATGTGTCTCCACAAATTGACCGTAGTTATGACAAGTTTGCAGAATTGGCATTGAGACCATTTACTCGGTTGACCGTCTAGTTTGGCAAATGAGCAGTAGTTGGGGCGCATATGGCAGCAGCGAAGAAGATGACGACGACGATAAACCAAAACAAAACCGGAAACGAAATAAAAGATGCAAAAAAAACATAAATCAAAAAATGAACCGAAATTCAACGAACCAAATATCGAACCCAACGATTCAACCGAAAATCTATTTGAACGTATGGTTTTCCTTTGATTTTTTTTTGGTTACATACCCGTTGCGGCTCCTTGTCCAGATCGTTTGGCGTCAGGAGTGGGTGTTCCGGATGAAAATAAACGTCCTGCAAAACATTTCGAAATATTGATTCATTAGAACATTGCATATGTTGGGCTTTAAATGCATTACAACGTAATGATCTGATGAAAATTAGGGACAAAAACTCAAACATAACACAGAGACGAAAATCAAACACAACTGAAACAAACACAAGAGAAAAAAACAGCCGAGAAAAAAAACAAGTTTCAAAAGCGTTTAATTTTGTGTATGAAAAATGAAAATGAAATAAGAGGTTTGGTATATATACCCAGCTCAGCTGGAGTCGCTAGTTTTGGCTTGTCAAAATCGTCATCAGTTTTGTTTGCTGCAATGAAAATGAGTTAACGAATTGAGTAAATTTATACGAAACAATGATAGAATTTGCTTAGAATGTTTGCCTGCAATGAAAAATCAAACTTGAAAACTAGAAATTGAGATGAACATCTTTGAATACATTAGCTTCATAGTTACCATTGTCTTGAGATCCACTTTCGTAAGTTGCGATTTCACCATCGCCCTCTGTCTGATATGGCTTGTCCTCTTCGTCGTATTCGGCTGAGATGTCTGCTTCCATTTCTTGCTTCAAAAACTCCTCGTCTGTTGAAAATAGGTGCAAATTGACTCATTAGTTTCGTTTATTATCATGATGAATAGATGATAAGCGTGGCACTAGTAACTTACTTTCATGTTCAGTTCGCTTGGCGACGGGGGATACAGTTTGCTCGGATGGTTTCTGTGGGCTGTTTTCACTGTAAGTCACCGTCTTCGACTCAGCGGGCGTTACAATTTTTCGCTTCCTCTTGGCTGGAATGACATCAGCTGCAAATTTAAGTATTTAAGCTCCGATTAAAACACGAAGCAATTGATTTTGTTTTTCAAGTGTCGAATAAATTTTTCAAACAGACAGAAAAAGACGATAAAATTTCAAATAATAACACCACCTTGCATGATAGTTGTTGGTGCCTGTGCCATGGTTGTGTAGACAATTTGATCGACGGCCGCTGCATTTGTGCCAATGATTGAGATTGGTTTGGATAGTGTGAATTTCTGGCCGGTCAGATGTGTGGCATCACGAACGGTTTTACTGATGGTTTGTCCATGAATCGTGATGGTATTCTGTGGGGTGTGAGTGGCCAATGCCGCAGCAACGACAGTTTGTTGTTGTGGTGGCGGAGGTGGTGGAACCGCAATAGTTATACTCTTATCTGACTGTGTACTATCGTCTTCAGTCAGACCTTGAATCGATAGCATTTCGGCGGTATGCAAAAAAGTCGGCAACGCATCCTGTTCGATGTTCACCTCACCTTGGTACATGTACACGACGATTGATAACAAATCGTCATATTTGACATTCTTGAATATAATCACCGGATGCTGGCACGGATTTTCTTTGAATATCTCTTTGAAGTAGGTGCTGCATGCGGACAACAGCACTTTGTGGGCACGAATTTTTCGGCCCTCTACACACAGTGTAACATCACAAAAATCCTCTTTCGACCGCAACGAGTCGAACGCATTTGTAATGTGATTTGTATAGTTTGTCCACTTGAGGGAAAATTGCTGAGTCGACGACATACTGCCAATGGCTTCAGCTATGAAATAATCACACGAAAAACCTGCGTTAGCACACGATACACTTAACTATTATTACACTTTTTTCAGGTAATGAATGGTGTATTTTTTTTTCTCTTGCTGCCTCAGATTCAGTAGATTACGAGCAATCTAGTTATTGACATACCAAATAATACAAACTCCGTTAGTTTGCACGGAGTCAGGCTGGGGGCGCTTCGTATCATTCGAGTCGGTTGTTGGTATTGAGCGCGAAATGAATCTCACGTGAAGTTGGCTCTCAGCGAGAGTATATCGTATCGGCTGTTGTTTTGCTTCAGATGCTTGTCGTCTATCGATTGAATCGAAATTTTTTGGTTGGAATTTTTGCGTTGGAAATTTTTTTCAAACAAAAAAATTAAATATTCATTCAAAACGAGCGAATAAAAACTCGAAATATAAAATGTTGATGAGCAAAACACGAAAACTGAAACACAAACATTTTACCCGTTTTGACATTTGAATCAACGATTCCTATAACACAAATGGCGCTGTTGCTAGTTGTTGTCACTTTTTCACTGTCTCATTCGAATTTCATTCGTTGTTTAACATCTGAAAAAACTACATCGCATCTCGAAGCACAGCATTTGGCGAGCCTTTTTTCACACAGTTTGGAAACTGTTTTTAACGCGTGATTTTGTTAGCATTTGTTAAAGATCTTTTTAGTATTATTTTAAACGGTATTTTTGATTAGTTATTAGTTTTAATTTGAATTGAATTGAAGACGATATCGAATATGTGGAACCAGATCGGTGTTCTATCAGAAGATGAAGTGTTCAATGACACATTCTCGGTGAACACTTTGGTGCGCATCGACAATAGCGATCCAACTTCGGTAAGTGTGTTTGCAATTGCACATTCTTCATGAGTTTTTTTTTCTCGCATCCACCGTTTTGGTTCGATTGACTTATCACAATTTGGGATTCACAAATCAATTAGATCGATCATGATCCGAGATTACGGGCCACCTATCGCAATGAGCATGTTGTCGTTGCCATCGATAAAATATTGCATTTGTTGGAAAAGGATTTGATTAGCGGCCGAAGCCAGAATACAAAAGTCATTGCATTTCCGTGCGACATCGATTGTTTGACGATTTCATCGGATGGTGCGCTGATAATATGCGGCCTATCGGATGGAAGTATAGTCGGTTTGGCGTTGGCCAGCATGGATAAGGGACCTGTATTCAACACGTAAGCATTCAATAAACAATTTATTTTTCGAACCAAAAATGTTGTCTTTTCTTCACGTTTAGCCAAATCAATAAGCAAAATGTAGATGAATCGTTCAATACACCACGGCGCACATTCGTTGATGTTATCGAATACTATTCGACATACTACTTTTGCTGTACAAATGGTGTCGTTTATAAGTAAGTCGAAATTTACCAAAATCGTTGACAAATTTTATGCAAAATCACATGCAATAAATTAATAAAATTCATTCAATTTGAACAAAATGCCAGGCTTCATGGAATCGACAACTTAGTAAAACCAGAACCAAATGTGGGTTTTGATGAAACAATTAGCAATAATATCACGTTGGATATAGCCAACGCAAAGCGTACGAATGTCGTTGTTTCGTCATACACAATAACAACCTACGAAGGTCATCCGATGCACGTTTACTCTGGTGAAGACCACATTTTCATGAAATCTCACGGAGTTGAGCATCGAATCAAATTGAATGGCGTCAAGCAATTACAAAGTGATAACACTTTGACGTGAGTTCAACTTTGTTTTGTTTGTTTTTTGCCAATGTGAAAAAAGTAGTCAAACTTTCATTTATCCTCTTCGAATCTAGGTTTGCGTTAACAGAAAGTGGAGCTATGTTCGAATTGTGTCCATACACAGGTCTGGTGAATCCCATTGAATCAATCGAAAAAGTTCAAGACCTCATCATGACGGCCACTAATGATGATGGTATCGAAATACTTGCATTAACCGCAGATCGATCAGAATCGACATTTTTGAAGGTTTTTGATTTTCCAAGTGAGTTCAAATGAATCATTTTGTATCCATTGAATGGAATGCATTCCTGGAACAATTGAACTATTTGAAAAAAAATTTAACATTCAAATCATTTACCATTGCAGATATGAATTGCAAGTGTTCGTTGCCTGTATCCAATCAGGTCTGGTTGATAGATCAACCAAAAGCATCCGCAAGTATCTTTTACTTCGGCGGAAATCGATCAACGCCGTCAAAATATGTCGAAAGTATCCACTTGAATATGGTATCCGAGTCACAGCCCGAAAAACGTCTTCACACTCTTTTGACCAAGGGCATGTTGGTTGAAGCTGAAGATTTGGCAAGGAAATTCAACTTGGACCCGCAACCAATCTATGAAGTGAAAGCCAAGCGAATCCTGCAAGAAATGGGTTCAATCAATCAAGTAAGCTCATGTCTATTTCAATAAATTCATTCAAAAACTTCTTATTCATCCATTCATTTCGAGCAAATACTAAAAGCATTTCCATTTCAGAATGATGTTGAAACATTGCAAAAACGTCTTGATGATTTGATTGGAGTGGCCAAGAAAATCACAAACACTGAATTCCTTCTACAGCTACGCAACTTGGAAATGCCCGATCGAAAGGTTATGAAGAAACTCTTGGAGTTTTTGACCAAAGCCATCAAGTTTGATGTAAGTGATCGAGGAGAGACTCAATTTTTCTGTACTCAACTTACTATTTTCAATTCAAATCACACAGAATCACCCGAAAATCGGCGAGGAGATCAAAGAGCAACTGCTGCGATTGAACACTCTACAGTTGATTGACCCGAATGAATGCATGATGCAATGGCAAAAGTTCGTTCAGCATCAAAATTTAGGGAATTATTGCTTGAAATACATGGAAACGGTAAAGATTGAAATCAGAATATGGACCAATAAGGAACCAAATCCTAATATGCCGATTTAAAATTAATTGTTTTTCATCAAAATTTAAAGAATATTTCAGCCGCGTGTTTAATTTTGAAACAGCATGCATGTTGCATCATTCCACATTTAAAGCACGAAACGGCTCTCAAAATGCTGAGAGAAATCCCGAAGGAAATCGAACCATTCGGCATAATTCAGTGGATGCGTCATTTTTTCCCACTAGTTGCAGAAGAATTGCCGGAAACAATGCCGAAAATCATCGATTGGGTCATAGCGAAAACAGTATCCTACGAGCGTTCAAACGATTGGCCAGCCATTGGCATTGAATTTGGCAAAAAAATGTTGGACATATGCAAGAGCGTTAAGTTCACATTTGCGTAAGTGATTTTTATGTTTTCCCTTTTTGTCTATCTCGTTAGAGAGAGAGATTTCTTTTGGGAGTTTCTTCAATTGACAATTCACTCAATTTTAGCGATCAACGTCGTCACTATGATCTCAGCCTGGAAAAATTGAGCACGATCATCGATGCTATGGAAGAGCTTTTGGTGCTGAAAAACCAGTACAATTTGCATGTCAATTTCGAGGAGTATCACGAAGTAAGTGGTCTGAAGTAGTTTTGTTCAAGAAAAACAGTTAATTCAAACAAAAAATGAACCAGGGAGTCATCTCCAAAACCAATCGGTAACTCAAACAAATTTCAATCTCTTTCAGAGCACGATTGAAGACTGTGCTTTCAATTTGTTGCAACGCATCAATATAAAAAATCTACCGGATCTAGTGAACAAGTTCCTGTTTGTGGTGTTCACTGAAAAGGGGGCAAAGCTTCAGAATACACTGACTCGGTAAGTGAATTGGCTGTCATTTATTTCATCCGTTCATTCCACTAACCGAAATGTCCAACATTCAGATACATCGAGCATTTAACACAGTACCGTTCAGCATTGCGAATGTGGTTGCCTCGAGCGGTGGTCTGTTTAAAATTGATCACAAATCAAGAAGTGAAATTGAGGTATGCATTGACGATAGCAAAATTGGCACCAGTTCCATGGCCCGAAGAAATGAATCCGATCATTGAGCTTCGTGCATCGTCACATGCATTTGCAAAAGAAATCGATAACGAATACAAAATGCAGCAAGTGAAAATGTTGCGTACCAAGTATGGATGGCGTGCTGATTCCAGTGGCAATCCGACGAAATTTGTACTTCGCATGATAACCCAAAACCGTGATGAATTGCTTTCGGATTTGGAGATTTTCAAGAAATTCTCCTCGGAAATAAATCCGGAAACAAATTTCTATTGTGTCTATCATTTGTCGCGTGATGGTCATATTCAAAAAGCGATACAGTATCTCAAGACACTCAGCGAAGATGAAGCTCGAACGTGTTATACGAAGATTGCCAATATCACTCCACTCATGATTGGCGATTACATGAATAAGCCCGAAACGTATGAGCATTTAATGGAGCTTCTGGTATTTGTAATGGATAAGGATATCGGTGATGAGAATAAAGAGAAAATCAAGGATCTGAAGAATTTACAGCTGCTGAAAAAGAGTGCATTGAACATGAGCCTCACATTGGAAGAGTTGGCCAATAAGGAAAAGGTCAAGGTGTACTTAGACACTGGCATCGACAAATTGCTTCAAATTCTCAAGACAAACGAGAAGAATTTGGCTGATGACATCTGGCATAATGTCAAAGTATTGGCAGCAGCGTTGAAAGTGAATAAGTTTGATATCATTTTCAAGCTGGCCATAACAATCAACAATGTCAAATTCACAACGCTGTTGGCCAAACTGTTCCGCGATGAAGACGCTGGAACCAATCAGAATTATATCAAAATGGCTGTGACTCTGATCACTCAGCAGTATCATGCATCATCATCGGAATCAGTTTGCCCGGATGAGTCAGACTCATACGCTTATCCAATGGCCTGTTTTTATGCACAAAAGGTGAAGGGAATGGACATAGTTGATGTGCAGCAGCTCATCCACTTTGCCAAAATTGGAATGAATGCATTCGAGCTCACGCAATTTCATCAGTTTCTTGATGGGAATGTTGACGACGATGACGAGGTAAGGGCAATGGATAAAATTCAAGCTCAGAAATAGCTAATTCAAAGCCAAAGTCCAAATGGAATTTCAATTCATTTTCACACATTCCTTCTGATTTCAGACAATTCAAGACGCTCTTGAGAGCCTGAACAAGCTGGAAACAACATCCACAACTCGCCGCCGTGACTCGATGTCAATATTTGAAGAAGTGAACCACGTTAATCCGATTCCTGTGGTAAAATTCAAACTGAATTCTTGTGCTTTGCATCAATTCATTTGCTTTGTTTCCTTTCAAGATTGAACATAAAAGCGCAGCAGTAATCAAGACTCTGTCACTTACGCTGCAAGCTGTGATATGTGAATTACAGCCAACGACATCGTTCTACAACTATTTCAAGGACGTTCATACTACAGATGAACCGTAAGTACAATCGAAAGAGATACCATTTTTCAAATTCTCATGTGAATCCCATGGTTAACATTGATTCCAAATCCAGTTTCGATCGCAACAAGCTACTGTCATCGTTGGAACAGTTGGTCAAAATGAAGCTGCACACAACGGTCTTCTCAATCATTCACTGTATCCGAACGCAACAAAAGTCCTCCAGCAAAAAGCTATTTAGTAGCAGTTTGGAAGATATGTACTTTCAAAAGGTGTTGAAGTCAGCATTGCATCAAAAGGAGCCGCAATTCCACTGTAAGTTCATTGTTTCATAAAAAAAAAGTTTTCATTGCAAATTCACCATTCTGTTCATTTATTCCATCATTTAGTGCTAGTCCCGATACTACGCTCCCACTCCGACCCTGAAAGAGCATTACGAATGCTATCAGACGAGCTAAAAGGTGGTCTGTCAAAAATGAACTGCCTACAATTAACCGAAAAGTATTGCGAACTCACTGGCGACGCTTTTCTGGCTAAAGCGGCCAAGGAAGCACATTTGAAATACAAGTATTACATGCAATTGCGACAGCTCGACCCGAGTATCAAAGATGATTTCCAGATCTCGTTCCCCGAACTTTTCACATCGATGAATCAGAAAATGTTTGATATTCAGTTGCTGGAGAGAATGAGCAAAGATTTCGAATGGAGCTTCCAGAAGGTGCTCGTCACACAGATTAGTACGATTCTTAGTGTGCAAGAGCTCGAGTTTGACACCCAAACCAATGAATTGGGTGAAGAAATCACTGTTGTTCACACATCAGCAGAAAAATTGCGAGCTTTGTGCGAACCGTATCTTGCACAAGTGACTGATATGAAAATGCTCGGCAATAATTTGTATGAAATCATCAACAATATCAATCCGTATTTCTATGAGCTCTTCTTGTGTGTGCTCAATATCTTATCGGAGATTCGAGAGCTTCGAGTTGAAGTGCAGCAATGGAGCCACATCTTGCTATTTCTCAAGCACAAAATGGTTAAGAAGCGTGAAAGACGGGTCGCTCAATTTGAAACCGATTGGTGGATTCGAAAACAGGGCGAATCGACGATAATGCCGAAAATATCAAAGTATCGTTTGCCATTCTTGATGGTCGTCACTGAATCGCTGCAAGATTTTCTTGGTATGTGTACTTTGATTATCACCTAATTTCGAACCGTTGGTCATCGATCTAGCGTGTGGGTCGTCATTTTGATTCAAGTCTTTCTTGCATGACCCATCTTTTCATTCTTTCTTTTCTTACTCATCTTTTTTTACCCTTTTTCCATCGAAACAGGAGACGTGGTGACAATCGAAGATTGTGTTGAATGGTTCCCGTTGATCAAGTTCAGTTCACATATGCATGGCATTGTGAATGCTGTTGAAATCGACCAGGAAAAAGATACGCTATGCATGACCGTGTTCAAAAAAGTGCTAAGCGAGCGTCAATCGAGCAATAAGGAGCATAGCGCGTGGTGCTTGCAACCGGTGAATAATGCATTCTTACAGTCGGTGATGCATGTTGTGTATCATATGAAAGATATTCATCGCATTTTATTGGTTTTGTATATGGTGTTCAGCAATGCACCAGAAGGGGCCGATCAATTGGAAGCCGCATATCAATGCTACAAGTTTGTCAAACAAAATCAAGCGGCGCTGAACGAAGTGCAACGATCGAAAGATCTTGCTCTTAAAATCAAAAGCAAGTATTCGGTGCTTAAAGTGCAACATCAACTGCACTTGTACGGCTTGTACGATGATGATTTGTCTGACTTGATTGCCAATCCACAAGAGCTCATCAAAGCACTGTACAATCGCACAAATTTGAACAACACCGATTCCAAGTGCGATGTGAACAAGGTGGCCGAAGAATTTGCCAAATTGTTTGGATTGAAATTCCATGACATTCAAACGAGTCTGCTAAAGCAATGGCTTGCAGTTGGAGCAACGAATGAAAATAACCCACTGGAGCAAACGCTGTATGATGATGAGCTCAATTCAACCGTTACACCAATGAAAGATGAAGACGAGAATGCCAATCTTTCGGTTGAAAAGTATGTCAATTTTTCTCAGTTTTTGTTAATAATCAATCGAATAGGCTAACGATTTCTCCTCATTTCAGAGCATACTACATACTCAAATCATGGGATCCAGTGGGTGCGTCACAATTTATCATCAACAATATATTCACTGGGCAGGGCGAAAGCATGAACACCAGCCGTCAGCTGCAGCTGTTCGAATGTCTCATCAAATTGGCCAACAAAGATATGAACCCAACATTCTTAGAATTTGTCGAAGAATCAAAGTACATTGCACTGAAATGTGTGCATCATTTGAAGCCGTTCGGTTATATGTTGTCGATTGAAAAGTTCCAATCGTATGATAAAATCAAAATTCTAAAGCAAATTTGGTCGTCGCATGCAACGAATCCGAAGGCATTGAGTGTCATCACGTACATCTGTTTGGGCTATAACATTTATGAGCCGAAAATTTGGAACAATGTCTTACGGCAAATGGTCGCTCTACACATGGCCGATGAGCTCAATTCGATTATCAACAAAATCTCGGTGAAGCCAGAAATCGTTCATTCGGATGGCATTGTGGCCGCCTTTAATTATTTAATTCGATTACCGTTCAAGAACATGGGCAAACTACGCACAGATGAACAAGATGAAGCGCTGTCCAAATCATTGTTCATTCTTCAATCGTGTCCAGTCAAACACAAGCTCAATTTCGTCGATTTGGTCGAAACGTGCATCGCAATGAAGCAGTTCCATTTCGGAGCCGTGATTCTAGCTCTGTCCAGAGACGAGCTCAAACCACAAATCAAAAAGGTAAAGTGCAAAGCAATCATTTGATGCTTCGAGCGGAAGGTTGCAAATCGTTATCATATTCTAAAAGCAATTTTGTTCGTTCCATTTCACAGCTGCTGATGTCACATCGCCACGAGACACTGAAGGAAGCGATCATCAATTTGGAAGAGTACGATATCTTTCCATTTGTCACAGTGCAGGCTGTAAAAATGCTAGAGCTATAATGAAAGAGCATCCTGTCGGAGAAAATTGTTGCAATTTTGCAAATATCAAAACTCAGTCGAATTGTGTTAGATTTTGAACATTTATTAAGTTTTATTTTAAGTATTCGAGCAAGTCTCGACAACTGTGAATATCGCATTGCTACAACTAAAATAAGTTTTCGAGATGAAAATGTTCCCACTTGACATCGCATAATAATGCAACGATATCTGAATCATTGGAAGTCTCACCATGCACGATGACCTAAAGATCAGATATTCGGTATTTTTTTGCATTTGTTGTTATGTTGCGAATGTTTGTTTATGTTCAGTAGATTGAGCTAGAACAGAAATTGAATGACAAGTATGAAGACTATCAAGTTGTTCATCATCAATTGAAACTAGCCTAAGCATTGTAAGTCTCGAATTGATGAGATTCGACCGTTTGATTAGAATCAAAATCGGTATTAATACAAATGATCTCGATTAGAATCGTTCATTTCGAAATATGCATTGAATTAATTGTATTTTTATATAAGGCACATGAATCATACAGTTTAGGCACAATGAATTCAATACAAAATAAACATTGTTAAAGATAAATCATACAAAAGAGAAAAATACGGATATTATTCAATTAAAATAAAATAATAAACAAAAATTTAAATATCCAAGTGACTATGGTCTTGTTAATTTCATGTTTTGGTTAAGGTTAATAATTGGTTTTTCGGATACAACAATGTTCCCATTGGCCATAAATACGACTACAGAAAATTCGTTGGCTTCATCTTCATTTTGGCAGTAATGGATTCGGAGTTTTTCTCGTTCTTTCTTCGTGAAGATGGGTGTTTTATTCCAGGTGGAAGTTTAAAAAAAACAAATGTTGGGCTTTTTATGTTGGCTTCTTCATGGTGTTTTCATGTGATATTCTTAATCGGCGACGGAGCTCAGTTGGGAACTTCTCGTAGCATTTCTTGCAAACGGGCTTCTCGTCATATTCGTAGAATTTGGACTTTTGCGTCATTTTAGTGTCGCAAACGGAGCATGAGAAATGATGCACACACCAGGCCTTGTTCAAAGCGGTGAAAACTACGGATAAAGGAGAAACAACACGAATTTCGTAGGAAAAATCCAGTAATTTTGTATATGTTGTCTAGTCAACCTACCATCACCACCGATGACTTGATTGCAAACGAAGCACAAGTTGCCGAACAGTTGATGGTAATGCGTTTCACAGTAGGCTAAGCCACGTTTCTCGTAGTGCCGATGCCCTAAGAATGGTTTTTCACACTTGGCACACACAAAATGCTCGACGTGCCAATTTTTCCCGAGGGCGGTAACAACACGCTCTTCGATCGGACGACGACAAGCACCACAGATTGGGATACCCATTTTATCGTGGCAACGCAAGCAATACAACTCATTCATGTCATTGGCTGCAAAACCTGGACGACTTTTCACTTCACGAGCCGTCGAATCCAATTCACAGTTGCACGACGTACAATTAAAATGGTAGCCGTGGTAGACTTCACCACGGAATCGAAGTGGTGGACCATCAATAATGCCACTAGAATGGGAAGAAACCGAAATTCTTTGTTAGTATCATTTCAATATTTCAATGAAATAGTCAATTGAAAAGAGTCAAACAACTCACTGGCATTTATGGCAAATGTATTTTCCAAGTTCGCCTGCCTTTTCTCTGGCATTGCAATCGTGGCACAAAGCGCGATTCTATATGGATAAGCATAAAAATATTGTGTTATTGACAAAAAAAACTTCTTTCTTAGAGAATTCTAACAAAAACTAAGAAAAAACCGGATTGCAAAGAGTTTTAAACTTGGATTTCAAAAACAACTCACTTGATTACGAATAAATCCACAATCGGCCAGTTCTTTGTGGCAAGATTCACAACAGAAGCACTGTGGATGCCAGCTGGCGGCCATAGCCTTTATAACGCGTCCAATGACGAATTCACCGCATTTGTTGCAACACGGAGCAAAAAGAACATGAAAATCACGTTCACAATACTTGCGACCTTCGAATTCATAGAAGATGCCATCCTGGAAGGCACGAAAGCACTGAGCACAACTGTGTTTTAAAGTAAAATGATAGAATCAACGTTATTTTATGGAAAAGGGAATTCTACTGAAATTCATGTACTGAAAATAAGTTCACGAAGTGAAAAAAAAACAATTAATGGAAAAAGCTTCAATGATATTGGTTACCACATATTTCAACTTACACAAAACACTGCGTATGCCAAAGTTCCCCATTTGAATTGACAATTTTCTCGTGCACTTCGAATCCTTCTTCGCAGCGCGAGCAAATCATATTGCCCAAGGCGTTAGCAGCCATGACGGTACTGTTGAAAAAATATAAATTAGTATTCCGAGAAAAAAATGCATTTTTATCACAAAAATCCATTAAAAATGAAACATGTTATCACGTTAATGAATGTTATTCAAAAACAAAACAAAGATATTTGATGAAACCAACTATTTAGTAGAGTGAAACTCCATATTTCTGCCAATATGTAATACAAAACGGAAGGTATTTTTGTGTCTATGGTATAGGTAGTAGTCGTTTTATGTCAACGAACCGACTGACAACACATGACTGAATTTCACGAATGGTTAGTCAAATACAGAAGCCACTACATTGCTAAATTTGATGACTAAAACATATTTTAGTGGGAATCATAATAACTTCCAGATTGGCTAATATCGGTTTACACGTCGAAAAAAAAACGATAAATGAATTGTAATCAAAACTGGATGGAAACACGTTCTAGTCTTTGATTGCAAGCAACAAACGGGGATTGAATATCGAGGAAATATATCCGAGAAATAAATATCAATATCGTAGAGTGAAAGATCGTTGCTCATATTTGAGCATATTATTCGACGAAGCAAGTGTAATACATCAAAGAGCGATGTTTTGAGAGAGCGCACCTTACTAACAACAACATGTTCATTTATTTTTGAAATGTCTGCTTAAAAATAGATCAACATCGTTGTCGTCGGTGATCGTTGCTCTAACCGCGCGATACCGGATAACTACGTATTCGAATCAGTGTTTTTTTTAATGCCGCTTTAGTTATACTATGTTCCATTTTGGGGCGCCGCAATGCGCACAAATATACATTTATGAAACATCGGTGACATAGATTCGATAAAGTTGTATACACAGTGTTTGCTTACAGCTTGTGGGTTGAGCGTTTGTATTTGTAATTTGTAGCGGATTAATGTTGCCGTTCATTTTTTGTAGACGACTAAACCGTACGATTTTTCATTGAGCAAACAACATCTGTTAAATTAAGACGGAGAAAGAGAGATTTTTCGTCTGCATTTTAATGTGATGCATAGACAAGAATGCACAAAAACAAAGCATGGTTGGTATTCATCAACATTTGTATACACTTTTTTTCAGAGCCCAATTATGTCTGAGATAAAACTGAAATTTCCCATTATAAAATTTTTCCATAGAAAAGCTGGAATTGGTTCGTCTAGTATTAAAGTTGATTCAAGTCAAAACAGATATTTAATCAACTATAAAAATGGGAATGTCTCAAGTTGAGTATTTCTCATATGTTGATAACGCAAAAATGTATGTCTGATTTTAGAATAATTTTCCAAGAATCGTCAACCGACAATTCAAACCAAAGCACTTTTCTGAGCTCTCAACGTATGATAATCGAAATCGATGATCTTTGACATAGAAACTTCTTTGAATTGTACAAGGTATAATTTCTAATCGATAACACCAAGCGCAGAGATGCAGCTATATATAAGACCGTGCAACGGTGCGCAGATGCAGTCCGCGTTGTGATCATTTCGAATTGAAGTTACAGAAACATCGAAAATGGTGCAAAATATCAAACAAATCCAAGCAATAGTCGTATTATTTGTTGTGTCATTGACGAATTGTCAAAATAGATATAACTGCGTTGATGTCGGCTGTGGAAAAGAATGTGACAAAAGTACCAAATATTTTGTGAGAGAAGATTTCTGAAGTAGCTATGAATAAGTCACGTTATGAACAGATATGACGGGGAATATTTTAATAATTCGCAAAAAACCTTATTTATGCCTGTTTAAAGACCATTTTATTGTATAGAATTAAGTCTCTTAGTTTCGATCAGATATTCCAAATCAATCACATTTCTAGTCAGTCTATGAAAATGTGAAACATTTTGTTACGTAGAATAAAATGTTGGAACAGTGGAATTGAATTTCGATTCGTTGAAATAGATTTTTGTTTTTCTTATTGAAAAAAATTTTTTTTCTTCATTTTCAGCTTGTTTTATGTATGTATCGTTATTATCCACATTTCAGTCAGTTTAAAGCACGGTTGATATTTCGATCTGTTCAGAATTCGTTGTTTATTCACAATACGAACTGCCGTATATTTAGTAACAGCGAATCGCTACTACCGTTCATCGTATTGATGTTTAACAGATGGCTTTTGCTGAATGAAACCTCACACGCATCCAAACAATTCACAATAACAACCACACAAACAACCGTTCGGCTGGTTGCAGTACACATTCATTGACAAAACATAGAAACCATTTGATCGATGTTGCACGTTCAAAGCAGAATATATCCGTTTTGTGATCGCACAAGATCCTCTTTTTCGATCTATCATTGAATTTTCACTGCTCACTATACACAATTCACATTTGGTTAGGCGTTTTTTTAGTCAGATGGTTAGCAAAAACGGCACAATGCGAACATTTGGTGATGTGATACTCCGAAATTAATACGTTAATGTTTACAGTTCGAGTTAATTTTGGTGTAGGAAATATAAAAACCCACTCAGTAATTACAATTTTGATTGAAAGAGGTTCTTATTAGAGCGACTCATAATTACAAAATATTTTGAAAACACTTTTGTTCGGAAAATTGTGTGAAATTTGTAGAAAATATTGGGATTAGATCTTTGGCCAAAAAAAAAATGAGTAATTTGGTTATTGTGTAGAAAAGAAAATGGAGTGAAAGAGATCAATTTAATCGTGTTTAGCCAAAATCGGGAATGATTGAAATTATAAACGAAAAACCATGTTTAGGGAACTAATAATGACTATGTAATAGTCTCATCTCTGAACTGCTTACCCAACGATCGGGGGCATGGCGATTTATGATGATTGATCTTTTTTCTATTTTCCTCTGAAGAATAAACAAAAATTCGATTATTTATTTATTCAGAGATTGTTCCGTATGTCAATGGAAAAACGTTATCAATAAACTTTCACTGAAATTTATCCATTTTGGCCAATATGTTTAAAATAGAACTGAACAAATTTAGGACAGCAGATGAACTTGGAAACATTGAGATTTTGCTTCTTTTTTTTTCTCTCTTCACAAATATGTATAGTAAGTTGTTGTTGCTTTTGTGAAAACATCGATCATTCAGAGAAATTCACCGTAAAATCACTATCGAAAACGTTGTTTTTTATTTACCTTTTGAAAATTGTTTAAAAAAATGTGTAAAAACCAAAAAATGCACTGAAAAATACACTAATCAAACAACATATTTACAAGATAAAAATGCGACTCTTCTTTTTCTTTCTCTTTAAAAACTGAGAATTACTTCATAAGTCACACATACATTGTGCTGTAAACTCATCCCACACCCAATACAAATAGCATTGCTATTCACATACATACGTATGCTTATATGCTTGAGTGTGTGTTGCTCATACGCTGCGGCGGCTGCTGCTGAACGACGGCATTGTTTATTACACACGGTTGAAGTATGTATGTTAAGTGGCGTCCACATTCGTATGTTTGTTGTTTGATGCGGGCCCAACGAAATAAGAAGAAGAGCAAACCAGAGCGAGTCAAATGTGAAAATGTTTATATTTTGATTCGAAAATTTATTGCTTTAATATAATTAACATTGAGTCACATTTTACATTTAAATTTTCTTGTTTATCGGTAAAATTACGCACTTCAAAAAATGGCCCTATTTAAATATCTGTTGTGGTTTGTTGATGATGATAAAATGTAAATGTCCTTGATTTTTTTGTAATAACTTTCGAATTAACTTTCTTCGAATTAATCAGTCCTATGCTACATTTTTATTCTAGAATTAGAAACTCTAATTTCAATTAAATACAATTACTCTTTTTTATAAGGGAGACAATTCCAAAAAGGTATGTTCAATCAACGTGTGTGTATGAGTTTATCCTCTTTTGTTGCGCTTTTTTATGTATCAAAATGGTCAAATTTATCGCGTTTCTGGCTTGAATTTTGGCGGATTGAATGAATATGGTTTCTTTTCTTTTTTTGATTTCTTCTTTTTCGATCCAGATCCCGATTGGAAGTCATGCCAACTGTTCACACGGCTTTGTCGAGACTCTTCGAAATTCTTTTGCCATTCATTGTCAGCCTTTGAACGCTCTTCTTCCTCGATTTCAGTCTCTCTTTTTCGCTTTCTTTCTTCCATGTCACGCGTTTCCAACTGCTGACGACGACGTTCCATATCGGCAAAAAGCTGCAACAAGATAAAAGAGTGAAACAAATTAACGAATTGAGCTCAGTTTAACCCATTTAAGGGCAAGTCAAAGCAAAAAAGTAAACACAAAACATAGAATTGAGTTTAAAAAAATCAAAGATTTCAGCAGCTTACCTTCATAACCATTACATAAACGGCGTGTTTGTACTTGTCTGCATCATCTTCTGGGATAGGTTCATTGGTTTTGCCTTCCTTTTTCAGCTTTTTACGCTTCTCTGAAATCTAAATCCAAACATAATCATTACCATTGATGCCAAATTCGAACCAAAAATACTCAAACATTGAACACTCACCATGTGGTCTGTGCGATCTTTAGCCTCTTCGTAGATATCCAAGCATTTTTTGCGTGTAACTTCATTCTCCAGTGTTTTCCATGCTTTGTTCACTGCTTCAAAGGCCAATTGAGCACGTTCTTGATTCTCTTGATTCTTATCTGGATGCACTAAGAACGATAGACTACGGTATTTCTTTTTGATTTGATCCACAGTCAATTCTGGTTCGACTTGAAGTACTTCGAATGGATTTAAATTGAAATAGGTTGATCCAGGACGTAATAAACGGTTGATTTGTTGCTCAGACGTTAAAACTGAATCGCGGGCTTCAATTTTCTTTACCTAAAATCATTTGCAAACGTAGGGAGTACGATTTACTACCGAAATGCACCATGCAAATGTGAATTAAACCTTACCTCCTGATAGTAATTATCAAATGACTCCGAGCCCGAAGCACCTTCTCCCGACATTTTCCCGTATTTTTCGTTTCAATGTTCGACCTAATGTTAATGTTTATTACAATTTTTGGCTCGTTTGGAAGCACAAACAACGCCGAACAATGAGATTAGCACCAAACTATAATTTCACTGACAAGAGTGAGTGACAGTTTACCATACATTTTTGCCGAACAGTTGTTACACCTTCATTCAGTTGAACAAACCAAAACAATTGACGCAGAATCAGCTGTCAAAACATTGTGTTTATATTTCAATAAGTCGGAATTTGGTTTGTTTTTTTCTTTCTTTCTCTTTGAAATTATCTGCTCAAAATGTTGCAATTCCACTGACGAAAATGTGCTCGCGATATGCGGAAACGCAATGTTGTGTATGCTGTCGGTTTTTGGATCAGTCGAGTAGTCGGATAATTGTTGAGATTTGTGGTCATCAAAAGTGTCGGGAATGTTTTATCAAAGAGGAAGACGGGTGCTCGATTTGTGCACGAAACAAAGGAAGAGAATGTCCTAGTGAAATTGATAGACGATCCAATGGTCATGAAAGTAGTTTTGAGGTGATTCCGTCGAGTAGCGAAAGTGTCAAAGTTTTGAATGCGGGCAGAGCTGGCGAAGCACCTTTTGCTGGCGAAATCAACGAAGATGTATCACATATTATTACGATGAATGAAAATGGTGACGAGGTTCGGTACAAGTGCACAATTTGCCAGAAAAGTTTCAAGAGTAGGAACAATCGCAAATATCATGTGTTCTGCGATAAAACACGCTCCAAACCATTCCAATGCAATCAATGTGACAAACAGTTTATTACCCTCGCTCATATGAACTATCACCAAAGCACACATAACACCGACAAACAATTCGCATGCCCACACTGTCAGAAGATTTATTCGGGACCAATCGCACTAAAAAAACATATGAAGAAACATCAAAGTGAGCGGATCTCTTGATTAAACTTCAGAAATTACTTCTTCATTACTAGAGATGATTCCATGAATTTTTAAATACTTCTTGAACCATCTTTTTACTGTTTCAGATGATTTCAAGTACCAATGTTCACAATGTGATGAAAAATTTCTTTATAAGGAGCAGCTTAATATTCACCAGAACCGACACAACAACGTGTTTCACAAGTGTTCAGAATGTGGGAAACGCTTTTTGGTCAAATCAAATCTGACCAAACACATTCAAAGCCATTCGGGTTGGTATATCACTTAATCTATGAAATATGTATGATATGTATCCATTCGAAGAGCCTATTTTGGGAGAGTTCTTGTGGATAACCAATGGCGGTGTTAGGAACGTGTGATTAATGTGCATATCTTGTGGTTAGGTGGTCATTTTTGTACACAAGTATTGAAGTAGTTCATATTGATGGCAGCACTCAGAAAATACCAGTGGAAAATGAACTCGATAGAATATTCCATTTTTTCAACTTCATTTGAAGCAATTTCGAACAGTTACAACTATGCAAAAGTTTCTGTGAAAAAGTTTTTCTTTTTATTATAAAGTTGTATAGATTTTTCGATTCAAAGAAAAAAAAATGTGGTTTCAAGATTGATTTATTATCAGAATGAAAATAAACAAGATCAAGTCGTTAATTGACCTCACTGTGATGATTTCATTTGAAGCTATAGCCTTTGGGAAAGGATTTTTGTTAGATTCGGTTAAAATTTGATAAAAAATATTTTCAAACAGTTTTTTTCGTGTTGTAAGTGTCAATAGATGTACTTCCTATTCATTATATCTCAGGTACAGATTTCATCGAAGAGAGAATGTCCCTTTATTATTTTGTTCTGTAGAGTTTAAGTTCTTCTATCAATTTAGTCTTCCTGTGAAATTATCAAGTTTGTTTCATTCAATTCACATTCAACAACACATTATTATCCTAGGGGAAAATATCAATTGGTCGTACGCTATTATCTATGTTATTGGCTTTTCATCGCTATTCATCGGTATATCGGTGTGAATTGGTGAAATAAATTGAATATTCGTGTCAATCGTGTACATTTAATGTGAATTCAACATAAAAATATAGAACAATAGAGACCGTGGGTAGCTTACCATTTCTTTACATTTTCTGGACATCCCCAACGTCGCGGCCATTCACCCTTTTGCGGTGTCGAAAAAACATACACTTAAGTTCACAAAATAAATCATTCCTTTTTCCATCCACACAGGCCTCAACCGAAAAGTCTGTCCAATATGCAAGAATTCGTTTAGCGGAAACAGTGCCTTAAAAACCCATATGCTGACGGTACATAGTAAATCGAAACCGTATCAGTGTGAGAAATGCTCCAAAAAATTCATCGACCAGCGAACGCTCGAACGACATTGGAAAACGCATTTAGGTGAGTAATCAGCAAGGGAAAAAATGCATTCGTTTGTAATTGCAGCCAATTTTCGTCTGGAAAACACTTTCCATCATAAATTTCGATTCATGTTTTTCTCTCCTTCGTTTCATTCATACAAATTGGCGTCCATTTACAGTCAAAACACATAAAAAATTCACAAAATTCACACCGAATTTTTTTCGTTCCATTCCACAGACAATCTATTTTACGAATGCACGCTATGTTCGGCGAAGAGTGGCAGAAAGGATAACATTCGTCGACACGTACGGAATTTGCATTCCGAGTCTGACGAAGAGCTACAGCTAATTTTAGACAAGATTTTCGATAATTTTGAAAAGAGGAAAACCAACTCAATAGCTTGTTCGAATGTGGTGAGAGAGGAGAAGACTGAGAAATCAAGAGCAGCTATGAACACCGACCAATCTGTAAATGTGGCAGCTTGTGTACAAGAATTGAATGAAGTGAGAAAATCGGTTGAAGAGGAGCCAATCAAGCCATTGAGTGTTGTAAGGAATATTGCGACATCGGTCATCAAATTTGTGGGCCGATCGCAGGATGTGTCAGTGCAAAAGGGAGAAGAAAAGAGTGCAAAACAAGCTGAAATCGTCGATAAACCTGAACCAATTCAGGTTGAAGAATCACTTGAGGTGGTACATGGACAGTTAAGTTCAACGGCAACTGAACCAGATCCAATTGCAGAAATCGGCGTCAATTTACCATCACTTGAGCCATTGAACTTTGATGCATTCCCGAACATTGCACCGTTGCCCTTGATCAATACCAATACCAATTTAACGGTTTATCGCCAGCTTTTGTCACCATATCTTAAAAAGCAACCAGATTCAAGCAACGCCAGCACAAATGATGATGCTTCGATGCAGCCCAGGAGATCACCGAAGAAAAATTACAAGCCAAGCTCAACACCCACCATGGTCATTGATCGACCACCGAAAAAAATGATCGAAAAATATGAATTTTATCGCAGATAAGATTTTATCAAGAAATGTGTCTGTTTACAGTGAACATTTGAAATTAAATGGATTTTTTTGAAGCTGAAAACCTTCGGTCTTGTTTATTTGTTGAATGAAGTAATTTTCTAATAAATTTTGAAATACGTGAACTTGACACTGAACGTAAGTATATTAAACACCAGACTAAACATATACACACGATTGCAGTGTTATAATGAAATTTAAGTTGATAGACTGTAAATAAAATTCGCCAGAGGTAATCTCATGAACGTTTTTAATCAAATCGATTTCTTGTTTTATTGCTAATTTTAAATGTATAATTTTGTTGAAAAATGATTAGAAATTATCAATTAAAAACATTCTGCGGAATAATGATTCAATAGATTGAATCACTATACAGAAAAATACTTGTACAAACCTGTCTGGGATTTCAATTCACATTCAATTTTTTCAATTTTTTCAATTGCGTAGAATAAAAAGCTGTGTTCAGTACTGGCGATTCTGTTTGAGCGAATCGTGAGCAAAGAAAGATTTAAAAAAAACCTACAAACCTAATCGAAATAAATCATCACAGTATGTCACTTTTCAGTTCAACGCGTCGCACCAGAATATGATAATCATCTATTGTATCATTCAAGCTCTTCGGAACAGTTTAATATTTATACATACTCACTGTACGCAAACCGACAAAAAGTGCATCAAATTAATTTTATTGAAAATTTATAACTTCCTATAAATCAAATCAAGAATGAATCAAATAGAAAAGAAATAAAACCGCAATGCATTTCCATTTCAACCGTTTGAAATATAATTGGCCAATTTGTTTAATAGTATTGGGCATTTTATTTGTTAAAATGTAAAAATCAAATAAATTAGTCATAACTTCAGCGTGCAACTGATAATAATTTGATTTTGTACTTAAGATTTAATTGGCTTAAAATGATACAAAAAGCTTAAAATTGCCTATTCTCATTTTTATTTACACATTGAAGCTAGTTTAATTTAAACTATGTGCGCACTAGATTTGTTTCCTCTTTATTACTTAAATAAAATTACGGATTATGATTTTGGTGAAGCGAAAAAGAATAATAGCTTTCCAATAATCAATTAATAACAAGTAGTTTCAATTCTTACATGCGAAAAAAAAGCTAATGGTATAAAATAAAATTGTAGCTTAATCGTTTATGCCTTAAAATTTCTCTACACAAAACAAAAAAAGTGTTGCATTTGTTTCGATTCAAATATAGTGATCACAATTGGAATTTTTCTTTCATTTAACGTGTTTTTGTTTTTCATTCTCAAATTGCTTAGAATTAATAATTGTATAGGTATATAAAAAAAACCATAGCGATATATTTTGTTCAAGTAGTTGTTGGAAGTATTTAGGTGCAATTAAATAGGATTAGTGATTTAAATCTGTCACATATTCTGGATTGCAAATGATCGAGATGACAAGCAGAATGTTGTGTCAATTAACTGGCTGCATCGGAGTTATTATTTAGTGAACTGGTGCTACGACCACCTAGGCCACTTCCGCTGCTACTGCTCAGACTGCTATTTTTACTGAAATCGGCAGCATTTTTCGATGATGTCGCATACAATCCGGCCACACTACTGCTTGTATCATCTCGTTTCAATGTGTCATACTTAATATCGGATTCATTATACAATTGTTCATAAGGATTTTCACGGTCTTTTGCATTCAAATACCGTACTGACTCGTAGTTTGAATCAGATTCACTGCCCGTCAACGATTCATAATTACTAACGCTTACGGTTAATTGGCTTCTATCTGTGCTACGAATGCTATTGTAACAAATGGGTGTATTTGAGCTGGAATCACCATCGCTCGATGGTGATGTCAGTGTTTTTGTGTCAGAAATGGTGGATGTCATTGAAACGCTCATATTCGGTGACATAATGATTGGTGATGGTGTTGAGGCTAGCGATGAACTAGTCTTTATCGTCGAATTATTCCTCGATGGATCAGGTTCCATGTCATTCGTTATACTTGAATAAACATTTTCATGCTCTTTGGTTGTATCACGGATACTAGCGTAATCATGATTTTTCGATGTTGACGCCACTCGATCTTCGGATATTGTGCAATACCCTAAATTCTCATCGTCTTCGCTGCTTATAATGGTATTTTTTACTTTTATACTACTGTATCCGTCGTTGTTTTCAAGTTTTTTATTCAACACTTTGGCGTAATGATCGACCGAATCGGCTTTTGTGGTTGGTCGTAGCGTTTCATAATTCGGATCATAGTCAGAACCATTTTTTTTCGATGTATCCTTTGCATGTGATTGTTCAACAGTCTCATAGCCTGGATCGTTTGACGATTGATCGGGTAAACTTTCATAGCCCGGCTCGTCTTCAAACAGTGTTTTCGCCTCGGGGAATGTGTTCAGCGAATGTTGTGACAGCTTATGAAGAAAAATGCCTAAAATACAGTCAAAACCAATTTCAGTTAGTCAGACATTCTTCAACAATTTCAACTGGGTTGTTGAACAGCAATACAACTAAACTACATATAGGCAAGCAGAAATAAAATTGGTGTTATTACATTAGATTTTGTCCAGATTGACTACATACACACAGATGTATGACAGTACATTTTGGATGGAAAATTGGTTTAGAAGGGGGAACAGAAAGCGTTTTTTTTTCGAGATTAAAATGACAAAAAGACAATTCGGTTAGTTCGGCTGTGTATAAAATTGGTTAATAGAAAATTTGAAATATTTGGTTTTTTTTGTTGGCAAAAATAAATTTGGCGCAAAATTGGCAATGTGATGTAATTCACCTGGTGGAGTTGGAGCATGGCTTGAATTGCGATTTGAGTTTGGTTTATTGGCTCCACCGGGCAGATCAGCCGGTATTGTTTCGTATCCTGGATCATTTTTTGAATCATAATTTGAGCTACTGCTTCGTGTTCGTCGTTTGTCAATTGTTTCATAGTCGTTGTCATCGTTGAGCTGGGCTGATTTAATGCTATTTTTACCTGGTGACGTGTGTATCGATTTGCTTAACGCTTCGGGCAAATTGATTTCGCGTGCAATATCTGGATCGGATAAGAATAGGCTTTGGCGTTGTGATTGTGGTTGCTGTTGCTGTTGCTGTTGCATTTGTTGCGGTTGTGGTTGTGGTTCTTCGTTTAGCACTTTACGAATAGGCACTGGTGATGTGTTTTCGGACGGCGCCGTTGACAGTTTATTTTTCTTCATCACCTTTGCGTACATTCCTTCTAAATCTTTTGATAGACGATTTTTGCGTGGCTCATCGTCGCTGCCATGAACTGGACGCAAATGATTTCGATTTTCGGCCAAATTTTCACGGGACACTTGTCGTTGGCCCGGATGACCCACTTCAATTACCGAAGCAGCCGAATTTCGTCCCGATTGAAGTGATATCGGATTCGCAAGGCTGCTATTGCTCTGGTAATGATGTGTACCTTTTGGGGTCGGAGGAAGAGGACTGTTTGCTTGTCGTTTTTCAGGCTTTGGTGAGCCCAAATTTCCGACCGAACTCGTGCAACTCGACGATGACGCTTGCCTCGAGTGTGCAGCTGCCTTTAACATATCTACAGTCGCTTCGTTTACGCTGTTTCGCGGTGTTGTTGCATTGAGTGAGTTCGATTGAGTCGAAGTCGGATGCGATATCAGCGATGGTAGTGTACTTGGAGCTGGTGTATTGTTGATTGAAAGTGGCGGAGCCGGATTGATTTCCACCGATACAACCATTGGCTCTTGCGGTTGAATTTGGGCATAAGTCTCCGAACCACTTGTGTACAATTCAACCAGATTATTTGGATCTTCAATCGCCGCATACATTTCGTCCGAGTCATCAGAAACGGTTGCATAGTGTGAGTCCGATATTTCTCGTCGTCGAATTTGAGCGTTCTGTTTCTTCGTTTGTGCTATGATATTTGCCAACGGCTCGCGTACACTGATACTTGTGTAACCCTCTGTAAAATTTAAAAGTGTATGGTTTGGGTTAGAAATCGTTCTTCTTGGAACAATGAAATTACAATCGATTGAATATGCGATAACATACTTGACGAATCTTGTGAATCACCACTGAAATATTGGTGTTGCGGTTGTACGATTGGTGGCGTCATATACGGTAATTCTTGACTAGCTGACACTCTACCTGCGATTGCCGATGCCGCTGGAATCACCTGCTGATCGAATAAAGAGACAAGCAATTAGAATTTTAAATTGAATATGAGATCATTCATTAAACTAAAAATTTGCATTAAGTTGATAATCGAATAATCGACTTCAAATATTATCTAAAAAGATAGTCCAAAATCATCTAAAACATAAGGAGGTCAATCAAAAATGGAAGTTTTCAGCAGAAAAATGCTCAAAATTGCGATTAGAAAGTGTGAATTTTCTTACTTGTTGTCTTCCATCAACCGAGTCCAATAGGCTCTCATGCGAGCTGCGTCGTGATAACGAATCATTATCGTTGGGATTGTTATTTTCAGCATTTAAATTGTTGGCTGAAGTGGTTGTGTTTGATGTTGACGGTCGATTGGAGTTGTCACCGATCGATTTAACTTGAGCATATGGATGTTCAGCGGGCCGTACTTTGTCGTAGGCATGTGCTGGAGATCGAACTCGGGCATACGGGGAGCTACAGTCATCCGCTTGGCTTATGGAACTATGTTGCGATACACTGATCTGTTTCTTTGCGCTAGATGCAGCTAAGAATTGACAAAAAATATCAGACGCATGACAAATTGGTTAAAAGTATTCAAGAGAGGTTAAAAAAAAACGGTTACTTACGACTTTGTCCTTGAGGTTTGTCACCAACTTTATCGCCGACAGTGGCATATAGATCGGAATTTGTATCCAATTGATTTGGATCGGAAATGGGAATGTCGGGCAAACTGCGATGCGGTACATTCAGTGATCTGTTGTTTCAATAACGAGAGCGGAGGAACGAAAAAAAATGAGTTGACATTTTCAAAAGCGGTGTCATTTAATTAAGCTTTAAAAAAAACCTTTTTGAATCGGTGATATCATTGTTGGATATTTTTACATCTGAGTCACCAATAATTGAAATGCTATGGTTGCCATTTAGGAGGTTTTCATCTGGATTTTTGATTTTAACCATACCCTCCAAACCGAGAAGTTCATTGCTGTAACGAAACAGTGGAGAGAAAAAAAAATATGAAAAAAACGACACATCACATCACGTACAAATAATCAACGGGTAGTGTTCAGTCGTCGTTGGATGATTCATGCTCCCAACGGAGTATGAGAAATGATTATTTTTTGTTTGTTCGTTCGTTTCCATTAAAATGCTGCATCATGTTTCGCTCCGTTGAGTGAAAATCTCGAGTAATTGTATTAATAAACAAAACGAGCATGCATAAAAGTGGTGGTTTTGCGCGCGGACCAAGGTCATAATTGCGTTCCGTTTAGTAAGTGAAACGGTCATTTAGCACGAACTATATGGCATGGCAATTCTGTGACGCCAAGAAAGACAAACTGCACATTCCGATCGATAAAGACGAAGGCGGGTGATGTGTTGCTATAGGCTGCAAAATCTTAATGTGTGGCAATCGCATGGTGATAATTATTTGTCACGACCTCATGTAATACACAAACGCGGGTCGACAATGAACTTGACGATGGAACGAAGCACTTTCTAAACGTATAATGTAGCGTTGTGGTAGAATCACGAAATTCCTGCTATAAAAGGGGCCAATAAACATTATCTGAATGTGTGACTTACTTTTGAACTTTTTTGCGACAGCACAAGCACGCAGCTAACATTGTGATCGAAGTAACGCTCAATATCACCGAAACGATTATCACCGTATAGTCACCATATTCCATGTTATTGAACAAGTAAAACGGTTATTGTAATTGTTGAAATTTATGATTATTATTGTATTCGTTGCGGTCGTGCCGTAAACGCTCCGTGTTTGGAATTTTTTTTTGTTGCAAAAAAAAAACAATTTCGAGCACACGAATCTTTTGTATTTACACAAAAATCGAACAATAACGAACCAACGGGCACCGATCTTCCATTACAAAGGCACCCCAGAAAAAAAAAACAAAACAAAAACACACAACAATAACTGGAAAAGTAGCACTCAATTATACTCGAACATAATGATTAAAACCGTTGGCTTTGCATGCTCTTGCTGATCGACTGTGAAATTCTATAAATTCCTGGCATTCGCGTTCACGAAATATTTCATTCCAACACATTTGCGGAACTCTTAAGAATGGAAAGTTCGTTGGTTTTCTTTCTTTCTCTCGCTCGCTCGCTTGCTCGCTCGTTTCTCAGATCAATGCGATATAAACCATAAATCATTCACTTTGCCCGAAAGCAAAAAAAAAACAAACCCGTTGCTCGAGTAGTATTTATCGACTTTGAAAATAAGAGTGTGTGTCTGTGTATGTGTATGGTCACAAAACCAAAACAAACTTCACACAAACCACAGCAGCACTATTGCTCCATCACAATTACAAATGCAATTAATTCCGAATTGTTTTTATTTCGGTGTGTTCATGAGCTTATATAATTTAATTAGAAACAAGCGATTTTAATGATTTTATATTTGGGTGCAACGAATAGTGCGAATCGTTAACAGCCACCGACGTCACAGTGACAGAGACAGCAGCGCGATAAAGACACAACACCGACACAAAACAAACAAAACACGAATCGAGTTGTATATCGGATAAACATACACACAAGTCCAATTAATTAATACGAATCGCTGGTTGATGTTTTTTTCTTTCTATTATATGACTTTCATTCTCTCTTTCTTTTCGTTTCACTCGTTTCCCTTTCTATTCGATCCGGATCTGATGAATAAAAAAAGCACCCAAATGCTTGCCGTTACTGCTGCTGCTGCTTTTTTTATGAAAGTGTGCGGAATTTCAGACTATTTTTCATTTTCGCCTAGCCAAACAGCATCGCACAGATTCAAAACTCAGAGTGTGTATCAGTTGCTGTTGTTTTTGCCATGTGTTTTTTTTCTCGTGAATTCACTTTGATTGTCTTTCGTGTTTTTTTTCACTATTTCTGCGCTTGTTGTGTATTTCATTCGTGCCACTGCTTTTTCTTATTACCGTTGTCGCTTTGTTACTGTTACTATTCTGCTGCTGTGTTGCTACCTTTTCAGAGAGAAATGCAAACGACGACCGAACTGCTTCATTTTTCCACTATCTCCAATTACACACAATACACACATTACACATTCAATGGAAGTGTATGTTGCAGGCGAATAAATAAAGCAACAACAACAACGAAAATAAAATAACTCGTTTGTCTGTTTTATTAAATGAACAATGCACAAATACGCGATCGTTGGACAAATGAATTTTGTGTGATCATCGCAAGCGTGGCGCGAATAGAAACTGATGCAAAGCACACAGTTAACTTTGTTTTATTTTTTTTTAAACAGAGCCAGCTGCCTTTACGAGGACGAGTCTTTTATTTTTCCAGAATATTTTTTTTGTCTCCGTTTTTTTCGTCTAATTTTTTTTAATTGTTGCTTCGTTTTCCGTTGGACAATTTATATGAGCAATTGAAAATTATCACGGTTGGTTGGTAGGAAAGAATGGTTTTTGTTAGCAATTGGCTTGTTGTTGATTGGTAAATAACACTTCAATCACTAGCACTCTGGCCAATACACCATACCATTACGCATTTGATTGTCACTTTCACTCTAACACTCAGATGGAACTAGTAAGCAAGCAACAACAAAAAAACTACCATACACACCGAAACGAATAGTGTCTTAGTATTTAATTTGCATGAAATTTCTTTCAAAAGTTTCAATCGAATTTCCGATTGAATCGATGAAAAACTGGATGCGGTGGTTTATTTCGTTTGGTTCACTATGGTTCATTTCCAAAGAAAATTGGATTTCTTAATTTTCATTTTTTTTCCTCGTTCGACTGAGCCCGTATGACGTGTACTACCAAATATATACACAGAGAATGGCTCTTGTTAATTTCCTTTTGTCATTCCAATTTCGTCAAGTAAAAACGAATTACCGCCACTTAATGTGTTCATTTATTATATCTCTATTTATTTGCTCTGTTTTATTGTACATTGATAATCGTATCTGTGATGAATCACTTTCAAATCACGCTTAATCGGTACAACACTACATCGAAATATTTATATACTATATAAATGTGCGGTGGTTCGGTAAGCAAATAATGCATCACACTGTCATTTCACAAAATAGAACAAGAAAAATTCACGTTTGAGCAAAATCGTCAACAAAAAAAATCGTCACACACGTAGTGAAATAGAAAAAACACAAACACTAGAAAATGTTCACTCGAAATCGTCGGCAATTTTCAGTTGAATATTGGTTTGCGGCCAACAAATTCAGTGGCTACGTCGTCAAACGTAGAAAAAATCGTGTTAGACGCAAGTGTTGACACACCTATTGTGTACTGTATATGCTTTCAAATGAATTGCTTCCACAAAATTTACGTTTTTCGGACTCATGACACCTTACGGCGGCTATGTGAGAGAGAGCTGTTGTTATTGTTGGTACATTATATACGTGTGTGTTAGTCTGAATGCATGTTTGACGTCGACACTTGGGCTCGGTAGCGTTGGCAGCACTGACTCTCTTACTCTCTGTCTCTCTTGTGTGTCTGTTTACAAAATTCGAATCAGTGACATCAGTTTGTTGTATTTCTGGTTTTTTTTTTACTCGTCTTTTGCTCCCTAGTCGAAAACCATACAATGGCAAAACGAAAAATTGCGATTTTGCCAAGGCAAATTTGTTGTCATCATTGCTTCTGTATTCAAATCCGTTTGAATGAGTACTGCATCTTGATTACAAACCATGGCGATTTATATGGCTAGACTTACTATGCTACATGCTATGGTATTTTCAGTTCAGTGGACGGTTTTTTTTTATCGTTTCACGTTGAACGAATTTTATCGTTGGGAAAAAACGGTTTCCGCAAGAAATGCATAAATTTTTGCCAATTTTTATCGACTTTCCTAATCAAAATACGCACAATTTTTCCTCGTTATCAATCATTCGTTTATATTTTATTACTCATTTCATATTTTCTCCTTTTTACATGGTTCTTACAAACTACCTATTAACAATAATGACTATTCTTCTGACGAAATCTTAGCATTAAATGTACAAATTTACAAGAAAACAAAATAAAAATCAAATGAGCTTAGCATTCACCATCACTCGAGTCTGAATCCCAGTAATTGTCGTAAGGAGAATAGTCTTCGTAGCTGTCTTCATCGTAGTAATCACAAGTGAATGGTCGATACCCGCAATCTATATCGTAATCAATATGAATGGCCGGTCGTTCCTCATCTTCCAACACCATATTGGCAATATCAATTGTAACCGATCGCAAAATTTTACAATTTCTAATCGACAAATAGGTCAATTGTCTGGAGAATTGAACGAATTTCATGAGCCCATTGACAGTGAATCCCCAGCAATCTTGTAGTGCGAATTTTTTCAAGTTTAAATTTCGGCCGAGACGAAGGAGCAGATCATCGGTCACATAGTTACATTTCACAAACGATAATTCACTTAAATTCGTACTCTTTTCCAACTTATCAACGGCATTGCCGTCCAATTGATACAGCTTGAAATTCTCGCCGTTGATTACCCAATGTTCGAGTTTGTTATTTGTTGCAAGCAATTTGATAAAGCGATTCACGTCATACGTTTGGAAATTGTGTAGTGATAATGATTTCAAATTTTGTAAACGATGCAATGTGCTCGGATCAAATGACGCCGTAAAACTGAACATCAACGAAACTAATTCGATATTTGGTAAATTGGCGACAATCTCATTCAGAATGATTTCATCAATGTCACGACACTTGTGAACTAGAATCTCCTTGAGCATTTTTCCTTTTGCGCTGAAGAAATCGTACAGACAGCTTGGTCGCAGTTGACCGCATGAGTTCAAGTGCAACACCGCCAATCGATTTAAACCAATCAACGAATGTCCAGTGAAACTGCTAATTGAATTCAATTTTAGCACTTCGATATTCTCAAATGCGGGCACCAAATCAAAGTCTTTGTCCATTTTAATGTTGTGCAATTCGAGATATCGCAAATGTTCGAAGTGCAATTTATTGATGACCGATGCACTTAAGGGCATCGCACTGTACCAATTTCGCGTTTCGATCGTCAACGTTGCCAATTGGCTACAATGTTTGTTTATTGACTGGATTTGACGGCGCAATTTATCAGCACGTTTGTAACTATGAACGGACACCAAGTGCAGCGTTTTTAAATGTTGACCCAAGTGTTTGATTATCTCCTTTGACTTGTGGTCAAGCGTGGCATCAATGTGGAATTGCTTCACTTTTCGCGATAAATGACTGTCGGCATTTGATTCGAATCGTTGACACACTTGCCGATATGAAATGATGTCCATCACATTCAAATACTTGAGGATTTCCAACAGCACGTCATCGTTGAGCACATCGTCCGCACCGACCGTGGCTGGTATGCCTATGGTCATATCCATTGGTTCGATGATTGCTTCCATCTCCTTTGTTTGATTTTTTTGTTTTTGAAGGTTGTTTTTGGTGAAGATTCACAAAATTTGCCTTGAGCGTTTTGAGGTTTATTCGAATTGAATGCTCTGCCGTTTGGATCAACTACTCTGCCACTATCAATCAAATCGTTTGAATAGTCATAAACTAGCTTTATCTTTACAGCGACAATAAATTTACACTTCACTTTGTGTACTTTACTTTCAGTTTTGGGAAATTTTCAAAGAATAAGTGCTCAAATTCATTTGAATGTCTTTGTTGAAATGTTGTTTTGTTATTAAAATTCGGTGTCGACTTCTTTGTTACAGCGATTCTGCTTAAACTCTCTTTTTGTTGTCTTTGAATAAAATGTTTGCGTTTGTTTTCTCGAATAAATCTTGTTAACTGAATTCTATTTGCTCAGACACTTTTTATTTCAGATCATTTGCGAATGAAGAAAAAACACGAATAAAAATTGGCAAAATTGCAAATGAGTAACGAACGCTTTAACGGCTACAAACTCAATGATCCCATTTTATACGCCGTAGTTTGTCGTCAATCACAATCTGACATATCCGTCATCACAACGACACCCAACAGTCATAATCATCTGTACATACACGAGCCCATTACACATGTTGCGCTCATCTTAATTGCTGCTGTTGTTTTTTTTTCTCGTTTGTGTTCCGCTCAGCCAATCATTTCTAACCAAAAACAACCTGATAAATTGATACATTTATAAAATGTGTAATCATTGTATAGGGCTTATTGCACGTTCTAATAAAAGTAAAGTGAATACAGCTAAAGTGTTATCTCTCTGCGCTGCTTCGGCGTTACCGATTAGGCCTGTGTACGATAATGGGCAAACTTGTGTACGATTTTCGCTCCGAAGAGCAAAAGGACACAATTACACATTGAAATCGTGCACAAATTTAAAAATAAACCAAACGCGAGCAAAAAAAAAAACAAAAGCGCGTATCAATGATGATTCTGTTAATTGTAAGTACTTCGAAAATGCAGTAGAGCGAGATGGGAATATACTGAGCGTATGAAAGAATTCATCGCTCCGCTCTTCACACAGTTGTCTGGGGAATTATTGTCAGTCAGAAATGCTGGCAATTCAAAGTGAAAAAACATGCGATAAAGAAAAAAAAGTTCAAGATTTCGTGCCAACGTCGTCAGTTCGGTCATGAATTGATTATGTCGAATGGGACAGCGTGTGAGGGAGATTGTCTGCTTGTGACTAATGCTCCCGGTCGCGCTCTTATCGCACGAAATTTGCTTTCGTTTGGAGTCTCAATGTTCGTCCCATTTGGCTGTTTTTTTTTGCACAAAGATGATCGACCCTTAGTGTCACAGATTTTTCAAATGAATTTTTTTCACACTCTCTCCCCCTCTCTCGCTCGCGCGCGCTACAATCACATGGCCTGTTTGGTGTTGATAACGGCACACAAGCTCACCGCCATGGAACAATGATGCGCCTTCACATTTGCAAAAACACAAAGTACGCGTTCTTGGATCCTCAAATTCGCAGAGGGTAAAACCAAACGATTTTTACTTCGTAGAAGATGTGACATTTCGTTGCAGAACATTGATATTCCGCAAATATACTTTGAAAAAGGAAAACAAACGAATCGCAAAAAAATAAATCGACAATTGAACTTTGCGCGCCGACTCTTATCTATCGTGTGTTTTGATTTTTTCCCTTTGTTCGGAAAATTGTAAACAAATTCAGCTCTTTGCTACTATTTATAACACATTTTTGCATGACACGTTGTTCGCCAACGATGTTGCAATAGTTCGCACAAAGAGACTGTGAGTTTGTTCCCATGCTTCATTGAATGGGGCGCAATTGATCAAATGCTGAACGCGCCGCGCATTATCAGTTTCATGTGATTCACACGTTGAAAAATGATAGTTTTTACTCGGTGCTATTCTTTCTACATGATATTACATGGAAATCCAGAAGAACATCAGAATCATTGTGAATTGTCAGCGATTTTCTTGAGGGATCGTCGCTGCCGTTTGATGTGTAACATTTCTATTTAAATTCGCCGTTCAACAAATTGCTTTGATTGCCGTTATTCCCCGGATATATAATAATTACGCGACACATTTTTTTTGTTCACAGCGATAAGTGTCACATAAGCTGCTGAATCAAAATCTTATCATTTATTCGTTTTGCACAAAGTTCCTAATTCACAAAATCTCATCTTCTCCAAAGTAAACAAGATAAAGTTACACGCGTTGCGAGAATGTACTATGTTATGGCTTCGGATGGATTAAAAATAGATGACGACACCATTGATAACTTGGTACGTTTTGTACCTATTTTTAACTCATGCGGCCAAATTGAATGCGAAGTGAGTGCAAATCGATGTCAGTGGTATTAAATTTTTTTTCACTTGCTGGAATTATTGATTGCGAGTTTATCATCTGTCGAATGGGAGAGACACACGTTCAGGATGGGGGACACACGTTAAGGCTGTTGAAAAATTCATTCACCAATCTAATGGTTCTTTATCAAAAAAAGAAGCTGAAATTTTCTGTTGAAAAAAAAGGCGCTGGCAATAGAATAAGAAACACCGAGATTTTTTTTTTCTCTTATGTGGATTTTCTTTGATTTATTCGTCCTTGAAATTGTCCATTGAAAGAAGCTAGCGTATGAACATTTTCTGCGATTACAATTGAACTTCATTGCAGAGAAACTGCCATTGCATTCATTTCCTATTTTTAAAATCTACATAACTTTGCATTCATTTTAACCTTTGTTGTTTTTGTTGCTAATTTTAAATGATATTCTTCTTTTGTTTTCATTTTGTGTCTTATTTCTTCATCTACATTATGATTGGTTTTTGCGGTTTTATTTTCTTAACTCTGACTTATCGCTTATTGCATTACTCATTCTAGAAATCAATCTAAATTCAATCGCTTGAGAGAGTATAACTTGTATTTTCTTTCTTGTTTTTTTAAATTTATTATCAAGTTTAATTTTTGTTTTGACTCAATTCATTTTACGGGCGATTTTTTTAAGTATGTTTGTGTATGTCATTTTCTGCTTCTATCTTTTCTTCATTCTCAATGAAATGAAGCAATTTTCTTGTCTGTTTAAATATCGTTCGAATAAAATGTGACTTACGTGATTGTTAGTGCATCTGTTTGTTTTTTTGTGGTTGTCTCATACTTAAGATGTGTGTTATGTAGTCAAGTGATTAATGAATCAATTTCAATTTTTAAAATGATATTTCATTTGTCTGGGAAAAAACACATAGCTCATTCGATCCGATCCGATGAATATATGTAAACATTTCTCACGCTTAATGTCTGTGAAAAGTTTGATATTTCTCCGGCGATATGCAAATTGATAGCCATTCCAACCAACGAAAATAGAATTATTCGATCCATGGAATGGCGCGACATAAACTTCATATATCAATAATGGTGATAAATTTTAATGTATATTATAGATCAACATCACAATCAGAAATGAGCCACTTTTTTTTTTTAAATACAATTTGATAAATGTAATGCAGAACCAGAAAGTTCTTTCTTTTTCTTTTTTTTTCAAGTTCTCGTTTTTCACCATTAAAAAAATTATACATTGAAAAGAAAAAGGACTGTTTCAGCTTGAAGAATAGATGCCGCCATCTCACCAAAAGGGCCTGTCAGTATTAAATTGACCACCGATAAATGAATACCTACCGAAATGGTTTAAAAAATGCATTTTCCTATTTCTTCGAGTGAAATCATTCACCCTTGAATCCATGTTGAAAACACATAAAATCTTCGTCAATTTGATCGCTCTCGTCGTTTCTTTATGATTTTCTAGATTTTCACCACGTAAAAAGTCGTGATTATTCTCTCACTCACAAGTTAGAATTCAGAAGGTTGACATCCATAAAGATGATTTTGTTTGGTTTGTGCTTTTGATTCATATTTTTATAGCAACAGATTTGATAGAAATTGTACACGATTAACAACTTGTTCATTTTTTTCATTATGAAACATCAGGGTTCGGATTAAATACGAAAATGGCTTCAGTATTATAATAATATTATATATATATATGTTTATGATTTAATTGGCATTTTTATAAAATTTTCTAATTTAGAATAAATAGTTGATTCTGTTGTTCATCTCTGTGTGTGTAATGTGTGGTGTAAGTTATAATAGATTGTTCCAATTTAACAGTATTCGTTAGAGACAAACACGATTAACCATTTGGAAATGATGGTTTTCAATATTCCCCCTCCATCCTTCTTTGTGTGGGTGAAGTGGAATTGGTATCAAATAGTTTGGTTACCACAATGAAAACAGACACGTTGTTTGGTTTTGTTTTGTTTTTTTTTTTAAATATAAATTGTTACTATTCACTTAAATGGCTAAACAAATAACGTGCATTTGTAAATGCATTTTAATTGATTTTTCACTATCTCAAAATCTGGGCATTTGGATTGGAATTAGTTCTAAATGTATGGGGAGTGTGTGTGTGTGTGTGTGTGTGTGTGTGTGTGAAGATAGGTGCTTTGGTGCCGCCTAAATTTAACAAAAATCTTGTTTCTTCTTTTTGTTTATCTCAATAAATGCGCTTCTTGTTTCATTTCCTGGCGAAAATGTTTCTAATGCCTCTAAGTTTTCTATTGTAGAGTAAACTGATCAATTTACATATTTGTATCACATCATGGCTGATTGTGCATTAAAAAATTTACAATTTTTTTCTTTTCCTTTTTTTCTGAATCGCGTATTAGAGTCATTTTGTTCAATTTTTCCGTGAACAATGGTTCACTACTATGATTACGTTTATTCCTTTGCTTCTTCGAGAAAGAAGAAGCAATTTATTTTTCATTTTATCATTTACCAAAAAATTTTCTTATAATTAGGATCCTTACTTTCCGCAAAATGCCGCTATTCAATGGGCTTTAATGTTTCAACAAATGAAGAACTTAAAAGCAACAAACCAAAGCATGAACACAAAAGACCTAGGGAATAGAAAAACACAAAAGAGCTGAAACAAAGGAAGAAAATCAACTCACGGAAAAACATTTTCCACTGAATCCATTTGAACGACCAAAGCGTGTGTCAAACAGACTGATATCCACCAAACAGAACGGAACCGAACAGAAAAGAGAAATGAAGAAATCCAACGAAAGACAAAAGCAACGACCAACAAATCGCATTCAAACGACGACAAAACCAACTAGATCATCAAAAGTCTTGATGCTTGAAAATGGACCATCACTTCGAATCAGGCAAAAATGTAGTTTATTTTCTTCTTTTTTTGTTGTTGACTTGATTTAGATGATAAACATGTTTAGTTTTTTAGCTATATGATCGATGTGTTTGATATGGGGAACCCAAAAGCATGGAGGTAATGGTTTCAAATAGAGAGATTCCTTGTTTCCATTAGTTTCTCCTATACAAATGACAAGGTCACTTAAAGAGATGAATTACATTTAGATTAATCTCTGCAGTATTTTTTTCTAGTTTTTTTTTGTCTCTTTTCATGTCAATAATAATCAATATTGATTTATCATGATTGTTTGTTTTTTTCATATGAATTCTTTTTTTTTATTTAGATACCACAATATGCTTTTTCAGTGATTGAATTATTTACAAATTTTAATATTCGATTTTATTTTTATTTGTTTTTTTTTGTCATCTTTTGTTCAATATAAGTTACAGTTAATATGATAATATCAGAAGTAATAATTTTCAACATTTTCAATGTGTGTCGCTATGAAATTGGTTGGTTTTTGTGTGAAGAATATTTTGGAATTTAATTTTCTTTTTAATTGGAATGAAAAAGGACAGTTTTTTCTCTTACAAGTATAATGTTGGTTAGTTAATAACAACTATTTTTGACCATCAAAAAGAAAACATTGTATGTTTTTGTGTTATAAATTTAAAACTTGATTGTTAAATTTAATGCTTTCATCTTCAGTTCAACTATTTAAATATAGTATTTGATCATTGGAGATTAAGGTACAAATGAAAAATACTCTCGTCAATTCAATTCTCAATTGATTAATATGCATTCAAGCAAAGTAATTACAAAACTACTAGAAAAACGAGAGAATAAAGAACAGAAAAAAAAGATATCGAATACAAATTCAGAAAGATAATAATCAAAAATATACATTCAAAATATATATATGGCGTTCAATTAATAAATAACATTTTCATTTCACTAAATTTGTATATATATATATGTTTCGATAATAAAAAAAAGAGAGATGCTAGTATTAATAAAGAAATTCATTTCCTTCTTGTTTCTTCGACGATTGCTTAAACTCAAATGTAATGTGGTGCGATTTCGCGACAAGAGCTTACAAACTACAGACAAAAAAAGGAGACATAAACACACGTCGAACGTCCATTTTAGTTAGTATTTGCAGCACTTTCGAGTGACGAACGTAAAACGACACAACCTTCAACCCAAAAGTTCGGCCGATTAATCATGCTTTGCCAAAGTGACAATTCCTTTCCCGTTGAGTCCATCCAATCCACTGGTTTTCCATAATATTTTCCTGTGTTACGCAACGAAAAAAGAAAAGACAGAAGAGAAAAAAAAATCGATTAAATCATTCTCGAAACGTGAATATCGATGGGATTGGTGTTAAAATGTATGTGATTGAGCGATGCATATTGATGATGCAAATCAAGTTTTGAGTTACATGCCAGAAGTGACATGACAACCGCCATTGGCTGAATTGGCTAGTGTTTTTGGTCACGTACCAACTCATGTCGAATAATTATTTCAATCTCGAACCATTTTCATAAATCTCAACGCAAAATCTACATATTCATATTCATAAACTTCGTTGCTCTGACGGTGGTGGGAGGGGGATGCTAATCGTAAAAGCGTTTGAAACACGGAGATGGCGCCTCGCCGATTAATCTACTGTACGGAATACAAATGGAAAATTTACTTACCAGTACCGAGGGAAAATCGTACACCACCCAAAAACTCATTGCTAGCCAATCGATCATGATCCCATATGGTTAATTCCAGTGCACGTTCAGACAATTCATTAAGCGATACATCATCATAGGCAAATGTATAGTTCCATACTGGATTCACGGAGCGCTTGGCCACTGGCGTTTTTTGTTTCGAATTGCGATTTTTATCGGGTAGCAAATAGCTGGAGTAGCGCACCCAAACGGATGCAACGAAAAAAAAAACGAAACGAGAGAAAAAGAAAACACAAAACGATTATTCCCATTTTGCAACGTTGCTAAAATGAGCAATTACTATGGATATATGGTATGGAAAATTATCATGATGCACACGGTGACGTGCCATCCTGTCGGTATGCATTCTAATTCTCTGGTGTATAATGCTCGAATAGAGTCGAAAATTAAATGTATTTATGTGAGTGTATTAGGGCGGAAGATATTCTACCTTTTGCAAAATGCATCGCACATTCCATTGGCTTTGACCGGGCTCAAGTTCTTCGCCTCTTTGACAAGCACGTGCAACGAACCTTTTGACGATGAAGACGATGATGATGAACTACGTGAACTTGTGGATGACTTTATGCTGCCACCGAATTTACGTAAGCCACTGCTGATTGATGATCTCGAAAAGTGCGACGATTTCGAATCTGGCGGAACGAACTTCAAACCTACAATAATGTCACCACGATATGTTGAGAGGTCGTCAAACGGTTCACTCTACGACACGAAAATAATTTCCACACAAGAAAAAAAAAAGAAAAAAAAAACGGACGAAATAAAAATCGACATCACAAAAAAGGGTAAACACACATAATAATATTATGTAAATAAATCAAATATTTTTTGCTACACTATACCTACAGCTACTTTTGAAGAACATTAAGAACAAAAGATGGATGGAGGAGTTTGTGGAAAGGGATATTCTATAGTGATGTTACTTGATATGCAAGTCATGGGTTTTTCTTTCACTTTTGACTTATAAACAATCGAATACTTACACGTTCCTGTAGTGTATACCATTGTGGTTGTGGATTATCGAAAACGATGCCTTGCAAATTGATGGTCACTTCACCAAGGAAATCGTTGCGTCCGAACATATCGGAATGCCATACAGTTAACCACAATGTTCTTGTTTCCAAACTATTCAACGGCATAAAGTACTTGAGCGTTTCATCGAACATCGGATTTAGTGTATGCTTTCGGACTTTCGTTTTGCGTTTGCCATTCTTTGACTTATCCGGTAGCAAATAAACCTGTAAACCAAAACGAAACGAACGGAATGTTATCGGATATCACAAAATCGATGAATACGGCAAATGAATCTAACTCAATCTAATTTAACACTTCCCAAATTGGATGCAATTACATTCCGAGCTTTGAGTCGTTCGATGCAATTGACTCCATTTTTGGGCAGATTGAACGTTCATTTGACTTACCTTAACATATGGATCGCTGCGATTGCGTTTCGTATCAACAGCCGCCAAATCCTTACACTGTACCACATGGATTTCGAGAGCGCCCTGCTTGTAATTGTATTGCATACCGAATTCCACTTGCCCTTTTACTATGACCGTTCCGTAACGACCTTCGCCCGCTCCCGAATACACACTGGCCATCGAATCGGAACGCAACTGTGTGCAGCAACAAATGCAAAATGAAAGAAATAAAAAAAAGGAATTGGTTAGTGGTTGAACTGAATTTTGTGTTTATGTTAAATTACTCCTAATGAACCGAGGCTGCTGCGGTTCTGGTGCATGGCAACAAGACGATCGATATCATCATCGGATTGGGCTGGCCAATCAGACGAAGTTGGTGACAGCTTGTTTCCGGCTGGGCTTGCTGGTTGATTTGGTGGCGACTTCGAATCATTTCGGCTGCCGATAATCGGCGACTTTCCAGCTTCAGGTGAATTAACGCCTTCTGTACAAATGAAAAAAAAAAACAAAAAAAATTGAAAACAATTTCAATGAGTAAAGTTTTATACTGAAGTTTAATTTACTTAAGTGAATAATGTGTTTTATATATAGAATAAATTGGATTAGTAAACGTTATATATTTTCTTCTTTTCTTTCGTATTGAACTTGAAGCGAAATTTAAATTACTATTTCCCTTCGGAATCAATTACAATACTTTTATTTTTCACTACACATTAATACCAACTTTGAATCAATATTTTTTTCCATTTTTGACATTTTATTATTCTTCTGTTTTATACCTTCATTATTCATAATTGACTTAATTCGCGATTTGTACAATATTTTCCAAATTTGTTTAAGCGACATAATCAATTTGCAACTATGCCCGAAGATAGAAAAAAAAACGTATGATCAAAATGGGTGCGGATTATAAAACAAATGTGCGGGAATTTCAGTGTTACAGTACCGAATCAATGTCTTTATTGAGCATTGGTTTGATAATGGAATTAAAAACACTGGATATTTTAGTGATTCATATACGACAGCGACTGACCCAATAAAAAATGGGGGGAAGAATGCTTATTCATATCAAGAACACACAGCATCAGCTGATTCTCGAGCATTCCTACTGATTTGTAGAACTTTTCTCTTTAGCATAACGTATTCTGATAAATTTATATGCTGACGTCAGTTATTGATAACAAGAAAAGCGTGTCGCTTCACTCGAGCTTCATATGTTGATTAATTTTATCATTGCATTTCAATTTGTTTTACCAACTGAATTTCATAGCACTGCATGAAATATAGAGTGAAAACAAAGACACACTATTTATCTAAATCTCAAAAAAATATTCTAGTCAAAATAGCAAAATATTCCAAGTAGCCCAAATTATTGGGTTATACGATTCATTCAAATTGTTCATCGTGGTCTTTGACCACTGGTCTACCAAGACCTATCACAAATAATATAATTCCTATGCATTGACGCATGCCAGAAGAGATTTGAACGAAATCTATCAAAAACCAACACCAAAAATAATAGCTTCACTTGTCATGCAGGGCTGAAAATGGATTTATTGTAATTTATTGTATACAGAGGATGAATTGGAAAATGAATCTTCGAACGGATGTACAGATTAAAGTGAATACGAAAATCGTTTGCATTCTCTTTATTAACATCGTTTGAATTCCGCTTGGAATCAGATACAAGAGCTATAAAAAATAATTCGACTCTGAACGAACAGAAGTGATAATTTCTCGAGAAACTAACGCAGAATACCTGGCAATAAGATTTCAGTAGAAATTTAAGTGAATAATCAAAATAAAACACAAGTTTCACCTCGCGTTGTCCAAAAAAATGTGAACTGGTATTAAATAAAACATTATTATTCTCCTACTCTACCGCGAATTGAATCAATCCTATTATTATCATTAAATTATTCATATTTTCCCTGCTAATGCACTTTAAGCACTTACGAAGAAGATAAAGAAAATAAAAACTTTGTTAGTACTTTGTAGAACAAATTGAGCAAGTGTACAATGGAAACGGTGCAATCAAATGGAAAATGTGTGCGTTTCTGTTGAATGAGAGTTACAAAATTTAATTTGCAAGTATCATCTCTCGTGATCCGAAGCAATTAAGTGGAACATGTCATAATAATATGCTAAAATGGATGTCATTTATAGTGGTAATGTAATATAGCGTGAAAATACAATGCAACATACAAGAAGATATCGTTACATCACTCAGAATGAACGCACATACAGACTGTGTGTGACATAGTCATTTAACATGAGTTTGTACGAACATCAGAGCAAGTTGCAAGACATCTAAGCAAATAGATGTATTTCAAGCAGCCGTACTCTTGAATATCACGATTTTTGGCAGTCAATTTGTAAACAAAACATGCAGTTGGCAGTTGAATTTATTAGTTCAGGATATATATATAAAGCTGGCGAAATTCAATTGATATCCCTTGTTGTTGAACAATTTCCCAATCAAAAGCTTCACATTTCAAAACGGTATTAGATTAAATTTATATAAATATTCGATTACGTGCCAACACAAATAAATGTTTTCGGTGCTGTGATGGCATTCAAATCCTTACAAATAAAATAGAATGTGTCACGCTCGATGCGATTAGAATCGAATACAAGCAGCAAACATTTTATTTGATCAAATGCAACAAATTCGCAACGAAGTGTGGTGTGGTTAAGGAAATCGAAATAGAAAAATGACAAGCAATCGTCTTCGCACAGAGATGAAAGAAAAGAAGAGAAGAAAACAGAATGCTTCGAGACAGCAAAAGAGAGAAGAGCGAAGAAAGCAGAAAAAGTTTTGTCACACAAGCACGTTTGTGTGTTGTGTGCTATCACGATGCAAAAAATGTGCGCGAGGAGACGTGCAAATCCGGTATATAACCTTTTGTTCGAGCGGAAGCATCTGTTCGTTTGTGCTTGTTGTTTGCTCGATTCAGGCTTTGTTCGCCGTCCATGTCGTACTCCAAAGTCTCTAAGAATTTATCGGAATTGGAGCGCAAACTGTCGTTCCAGTTCCAATACTTCCGATAGCGGAATATTTTCGATGTGGTTTTCGTTGACGAAGTTTTGCCATCCGTTGCAGTAGCAGCGGCAGCAGCAGTCGAATCGTTTATCGCATTTCCATCGTTTGAAGTTTTTCGATCGTCGAGGGCAGCCTTCGTCGTCGTCGTCGTCGTCGTCATCGATGACGGCGATGGCAATGGTGGTAGCCCATCATTTCGATACGAATTCAATTGAAGGCTTGTTTCCTGCTCCTCATTTACTGTGTCACAACAATCTCGTTTTAAGTCATTTAGACGCATTTCGAGTTTATACTGTTCAAATTTTGCATCAATGTCATCGTCATCATTCTCACTGTCATCGTTATCGATGCAACCGCAACAAATTCGAGTGCCGCAGCATTTCCGTCGGCAACACCATTTCCACCAGCAACAGCATGCTATCGTGCTCCAACAATTTGTGCAGCAGCTCTGATTGCATCGCCAATTACATTTTCGAGTGCAAAATACGCTGTTAAAACAGCAGTTAAATCTTGATTGCATTTCATGCGAACGATTCAACGGACGACGTCTTCCTTGTGTAATGGCATTGCCACTGTTCATGCTGCTCCTGCCATTCGGTGCAACGTTTATTGTTCGTGATTGCGCAATTTTATTCCGATGCAACTGAATAGTGGCTGAAATTGTTGGCATTGTTTCTGGCATTTTGTTCGTGTTTTTAGTTTTTATATTCTTCAATTTTGCCCTTTTCTTCGGCAACAACCGAATGCGATTGCTTTCGGTGAGATTTTCACTGCTCGTATAGCTCGTCTCACCGCCAAATGTGCTATAACGATTCTCGTCGCGCGTCTTATAACTCACTAAACGTGCCATTTTTTACACCACCGCTTTTTTTTCTGCTGACACCATATACACATACATAGACAATATTTCCTGCACTCACTCACAAAATCCAATCAATGTTATCGCTTTATTTTCTACGCTGATGATGCTTTAAAATGGTGCATTTATATTCATTTCACTCTCATAACCAAACATCTAATTTCCAAATGATAAATATAAATAAATAAAGAGAATAACACCGAGTACAGTATTTGCATTTTCAATAAAGACGAATTCAAACATTTTCATAGTGTAAAATGGTCGATGAAGGTATTTCATTTCATTTGCAGTGGAATACGCAGCAGAGTAAGTGATTATTTATTTTCATTTCTTCTTTTTTTCGGTTTCTCTGTTCGTATGCAGTATTGTTCTTGGTATATTGTAGCGAATCAGTGATGCGAACTGTGAACTGAAAGACGTACAATCCAAAGACGTGTGTGGGAATCTCAATTACATACAGAAAATATACGAAAAATTAATATTCATATTTATGTAATTTTGGCGTTTGCTAGAATTGTACTCTGCATTTGAATTTAATATGAATGTAACTTCTAAAATTGAATGAAGAAAGGAAATGCACGTTTGGTTTTAATTGAACTTCATACGGTCGTCGGTTGGTACGTACATGTGTGCTCCAGTTGTTTCGTGAATGACGTTTTGAATCACGTTGCTTAAACGCCACGAAACAAACACACACGCACACACACACACTGAACAAACAGTTTTTGAATTGTAAACAACCCACCATATGCCATGATAAACACAAGCCGTATCCACATGAGATGATCCGCCAAATTATTTGGGACTGTTACTGTATTTTCTCTGCATGACCTGATGATGATGACGATGCTCACAAAGCAAGCAGTAAAATTACCGCATAATAGGCTTGAGTTTTTCTATGAAACCATCAGAATGTTTTCAATGCGAACATTTTAGGATGAATGAATGAATTGCCTTTGTGAATGGTATTTGCGAGGGAGATTACACCAAAACTACCAGTATACTATGGAGAAGAATGCCTGAAGTGTGCAGTTGAATTAGTCTTTTTCCAGTGAATTTAAGACCATTTCAACTGATACCGAAACGAAATTATTCAACTGATAACCCTGGTGGCTTTTGTGCGGGTGCTCTGAATCTGTGCAAATTATGAACTGCAACGAAAGTTTCAGTGAAACTTAAAATTTCACTCGGCTGTTGTTAATGCGATCAAAATGGTTGCCATTGATTTTGTATCGGTCGATGTTTGACTACCTGCATCATAGTTCAGGCGCTGAGAATTCAATTCAATCGCAAAAAAAAAACATTGCACTGTCATGTTTCGTGTTTTGATTCGTACATTCGAATCGATTTTATGTTGATTCGAATTGTGTTATTGTGAATTATAATTCACAATGAGCAAGGTACACACATAATAATTCAACTCGATATATGTTGCAATTGAATTGAATAAATGTGCGGCGTGTATTATATGCCAAGCCGTGTCTCTCTCGCTTTTTCCTCCTTTCCCTCTCTATCTCTCTCCCTATCCTATCCATTCGCAACATTGTTCTGATTGCATTGGCAAAATGCATTAATCGATTTC